ACCAGTTTGGCCATATTTCAGAGCTGCAACATCACTGGAGTGCCCAAAAGCACAAGGTGTGCAATACTCAGAGACATGGCCAAGGTAAGAAAGGCCGAAAGACGACCACCACTGAACAAGACACACAAGCTGAAACGTCAAGACTGGGCCAAGAAATATCTCAAGACTGATTATTCTAAGGTTTTATGGACTGATGAAATGAGAGTGAGTCTTGATGGGCCAGATGGATGGGCCCGTGGCTGGATTGGTAAAGGGCAGAGAGCTCCAGTCCGACTCAGACGCCAGCAAGGTGGAGGTGGAGTACTGGTTTGGGCTGGTAACATCAAAGATGAGCTTGTGGGGCCTTTTCGGGTTGAGGATGGAGTCAAGCTCAACTCCCAGTCCTACTGCCAGTTCCTGGAAAACACCTTCTTCAAGCAGTGGTACAGGAAGAAGTCTGCATCCTTCAAGAAAAACATGATTTTCATGCAGTACAATGCTCCATCACACGCGTCCAAGTACTCCACAGCGTGGCTGGCAAGAAAGGGTATAAAAGAAGAAAATCTAATGACATGGCCTCCTTGTTCACCTGATCTGAACCCCATTGAGAACCTGTGGTCCATCATCAAACGTGAGATTTACAAGGAGGGAAAAACAGTACACCTCTCTGAACAGTGTCTGGGAGGCTGTGGTTGCTGCTGCACGCAATGTTGATGGTGAACAGATCAAAACACTGACAGAATCCATGGATGGCAGGCTTTTGAGTGTCCTTGCAAAGAAAGGTGGCTATATTGGTCACTGATTTGTTTTTGTTTTGTTTTTGAATGTCAGAAATGTATATTTGTGAATGTTGAGATGTTATATTGGTTTCACCGGTAATAATAAATAATTGAAATGGGTATATATTTGTTTTTTGTTAAGTTGCCTAATAATTATGCACAGTAATAGTCACCCGCACACACAGATATCCCCCTAACATAGCTAAAACTAAAAACAAACTAAAAACTACTTCCAAAAATATTCAGCTTTGATATTAATTAGTTTTTTGGGTTCATTGAGAACATGGTTGTTGTTCAATAATAAAATTAATCCTCAAAAATACAACTTGCCTAATAATTCTGCACTCCCTGTACATTTCTTCTAATTCAAAATATTAGTTCTTTTAGGGTAATTAAATTATATAGTAAAGCATTCTCACACACAGACACAGACAATCTTACTGATGCACACAAATAGGCTCATTGACAGACAATCTCAATGACACACACAGACAAGGTTACTGGCACACACAAATTTAGTACAGACAAACTCTGATACACACACAAGCTTACTACAGACAAGCTCACTGTCACACACACGCTCACTACAGACAAGCTCATTGACACACACATGCTCCCTACAGACAAGCTCATTGACACACACATGCTCCCTACAGAGGAGCTCACTAACACACAGATTCACTACAGACAAGCTCACTGACACACACATGCTCACTACAGACAAGCTCACTGACACACATATGGTCACTACAGACAAGCTCACGATCACACTCATGCTTACTACAGACAAGCTCACTGTACACACATGCTCACCACAGACAGGCTCTGACACACCCAAGCTCCTTACAGACACGCTCACACACACACACACACAAACTCAGTAGTAGGCACACACACACAGAGGCTCCCTCACTAGCAGATGCGTGCGTACACACACAGAGTCACTGACAACGAGGAAAACCTAGGGCAGCACAAAACCAGGATACACCACTGCATCGGATAATGATGTCTCAGTCCCCTTCAAAGTAGGCCTTGGGATCTCACACATCTCTTCTAGTGTATCTTCCACTGTTTAAAACACTCTGCAAAATTCTTTGTTGGAATCACCATTAGCTGCCTCGTATTTACCTGAATATCATTGACAGGCTAAAATCTCTCCCCTTTCAAAGGTTATTTTAGTTTTGGGAAAAGCCAGAAGTCGCAGGGTGGCAAACTTGGGCTGTAGGTGGACTGAGTTACCTGCGTGATTTTATGTGCGCTGCACATGTGCGCCAATTCATACGAAAAGTTCAAGCTTAATGCAAAAAATTGATGAAGATTTATTGCTCTACTCGCTCACTCATTTTGAATGCGATGGCCACACAGTACACATGCTCCCTTAACGACGTGTAAGGCCCCCACTGACTAATACAGTGAAGTCGTTGTTTACTGCCAGGTTACATTGATGTCACGCAAACCATTCTAGTTATATTAACAATGGCTGGATACTTTCTGGGTAGACCGTGTATGTATAATATATGTATATATATATATATATATATATAGAGAGAGAGAGAGTCTCAGAAATAGCTAAAAAGACTATAGAAATGTGTAAAACCTTATAGATGTATTGAACTAGTAAGAGTTTAATATCGTAATCTATCCATATCTACATAAATTACTAGTAATTTACTTATTGAATATCAATAAAACTATTTTGGAAACCAGAAAAAAACAAGTAAATATATAAAAAATAAATAATGCATAGACTAGATGTGGTATACCTATTGGTTTATATATAAAAGAAACCAAGAGGGCTGCACTCACCAGAACATGCATACATTATAGGGTGCTGCTGGGGCCAAAATATACAAAATACAGAATCCAACGCACTCGCTTATTCACTAAACAATGATTTCAAATCTTGGTTTATATAGGTACACAGAAAAAAAAACTAAATGAAAATAAAATTTATTCTAATTCTATGGGAATTAACTGCTCCATGTGTTATTTTGTTATTCTAATTTAATCCAATCTAATATAATCCTCTTTATCTGATTTTGGTGGTTGTTATATATAGATACTGTGACAATAATGTTATCAATGCTCAACTTTAGAAAAGGTCTAAATGTTTCATGACTGTTTGCAATCAGAGTACAAATGACTTTAATTGCCATGGCTATTAATGTATTATCTCACTGCAGTTAATCCTAGTTGTCCAACCAGTCCCTTAAATAATGTCATTCAGAAAACCCTGTAGTCTATGATAACACTTGTGCTTGAAGCTGCCATGAAGCCAGCAGGGGATGGAAACTCAGGGGCCAGAGCCTCTGTCGGCACCATTAAAAGTAGCATATTCAGTGATATTTATTACAAATATTGCTATATGTAATTCCAAAATATCAGGAGGGTGTTATTAGATGTAAAAATAGAAATATAAATAAATGTGATTCCTTCAATGATACAAACTGTTGTACCTTTAAAAATGAATACTTTAATAGACATAGAGCATATGTAGCACCTAGTCCCAGATAGTGGCCACTATACACAGGTTTAGCCGACTAAACAAATAAAAACGAAGTGTCACATTGCAATGATTATAATCGTAACTAATCAGAGCAACAAACCAACATAAAAGTAACAAGCACCACCGATAGTATTCACTGCAGGAAAATCCACAATTTAGTCTCAACTTTGCCATATCTTAAGGCTGCTTCAACATCCTGTTGGCAAAGAACAACTTGCCACTTACCATTCCTTAAAAGCAGAGTCTGAAAGGTTAACATTCTGCCGCTTCAGGCGGAAGCACTCCTGGTAGTTTTCTGATAATAGAGCTCTTACTGGGCTTATAATATAAATAATATAAAAGCAAAGGAAAAAGGGCATAAAAATAAGCTGGAGTGGAGGGGCCTCATCATTGGAGTCTGGTGGTGTGAGGGAGTCATACTTGGATACTATACTATACTTGGATACTTCTAAATAAGAAGGCTTGCGCTGTGGTGGTGCATGATGTCACTACAGAGCGAGTCGAAAGGGAGCTGTGCTTAGAAGTAGCCATGTCCTGCAACTCACCCCCTCACACCACTAAACACCAGAAATGAGGCCTTCCCGCTACAGTAAACAATAAGGAGGGGTCATCAGGAGAGTAGCGGAGCAGAATGGGAAAATGCAAGGAATGAGAAAGCATGCCAAAGAAGAGAAATAGAGAAAGGGAAATGGGGTGTAAATGAGACGACAAAGGGGTTTATGGAAAGGGGGTGGATGGGCAGATTAAGGGGCATGTAGATAGGCAGCATGGATAGACAAACACATGGCATTTAAAGAACGGGGATGGATGAGCATAGGAAAGGGCATGTAAAAAAGTAACATGAAAGGGGAGAGTAAGGGGCATTTATGAGGAGAGGTGACATGGAAAGGAGAATGGGACACACTCCACACAAACACATCCCAGCATTCACATACAAATACACCTATGCATTTACACACAGACACTTCGCACAAATACACCCCATACATTTACAAACATAACCCTGCAATCACATACTGACACTCTACACAAAAAAAGTATACACTCATGCGTTCACACACAGACATTCCTCACTAACATAAATCTGTATTCACAAACTGACTCTCCACACAGTTACACTCCTGCATTCACACACCTACTCGACACACAAACACAACCCTACATTTATAAACACACTAACACTTGACATATAAATATGTCCCTGCCCTTAATTCACAGACATACAGACACTTCAATCCATGTACATGAAATGTATTAGACTCAAAATGTGTTAAACTGTTCCTAATGTCACCCTGATGAATGCCAAGTTAATCAATTATTTAGTGTTTAAAATGTAACAAACACTTAAATAGGAAAATCGAGACCAATATTTGTCATAAAACACAGTATACCAACATTTGTATCATGCACATTGACATCGAGCACAGCAAATGCAGAGTACTCATATTACAGACAGCACCCACCCAAAAAATGAATAACAAATGGCATTTTTGTTTTCTGTACTTATGCTAAGAAGCATCAAATATAATTTATTCCTTTTACAGTTGAATCAACATTGCCATGTGTAAAACATGTTGGGGTTCACACCAAATATGTGGAACTATGCAGGCAGACAGTGCTCCATTGCAAATCGTCACTCCCATAGAAGGCCTAGAGACAGGGGACAGACTCTTATAAAGTCTGTATTATTACGGGGGTGTCAAGGCAGTTAGCGAAGAGGTGTAGGTCTGAGAGAAATGCCAAGTGTCAGAAATCTGGGATTTCCAGAAAGCCTCAAGAAGACCAAGAAAAGGGTCTGGAATGGGGCAAGTGGCAAAAAGAGCAGGAACAGAGCACTGACAGCTCTGGGGTTTTATAGGTACGGCCTGTCCAAGGGGGCTAGGTATAACCCCTTCACATAGGTGACACAAGCGGGGCAACACTCCAGTCATGACTATGGGTCGAAACAGCATAGGCAATCTATAGTCTAGAAAATAATTTTATTATTTTTTTGGCAGTACAAGTTCCCTTCGATTGCTGTGATCTTTGTGCTCCCCTTTTGCTGGTGAAAAAGTAAAATTTAATAAAGTTTACTTACCTTGATTCCAGCACAGACACCAGTCACCTTGGCTGCAGCTGCCTGCTCCACCTTCTTCTTCGGGTGGTGTTTTCCGCATTGTCATTGGGGACAAGATGCACAAGCACAGGTGGATCAGGTGCATGGCCTGGTGGGTATGTGTTGCTTACCTGGCAGCAGGGTGCATTCTGGAAAGAAGGCAGGCCAGGAGAGGCAGTGTTATGCTCTGGGCAATGTTCTGCTGGGAAACCTTGGGTCCTGGCATTCATGTGGGTGTTAATTTGACATGTGCCACCTACCCAGAGATTGTTGCAGACCACATACACCCCTTCATGGCAATGGTGTTCCTTGACGGAGGCAACTTACACCCTAAATGGTAGTGAATTAGGGATAACCACACACAAGAAGGATTTGGGATTGTTATAGACAACAAATTAGGCAGCAATATGCAATGTCAATCTGCAGTTGCTAAGGTCAGTAAGGTTTTGTTATGTATAAATAGGGGCATAAATTCTCGAGATTAAAATATAATTTTGCCTCTTTATAAATCGCTGGTAAGATCACACCTTGAATATGCTGTGCAATTTTTGGCACCTGTTTTAAAGAAGGATATTATGGCACTAGAAAAAGTGCAGAGACAAGCTCCAAAATTGATAAAAGGAATGGAGCATTTTAGTTACGACGAAAGGTTAAAAAATATAAAGCTCTTTAGTTTGGAAAAACAGCGCCTGAGAGGGGATATGATAACATTATACAAATATATTTGGGGCCATTACAAACCATTATCAGGAAATCTATTCATAAACAGGGCAATACATAGGACACAAGCTCACGCATTTAGGCTGGAAGAAAGGAGATTTCATCTAAGGCAAAAAAGAGGGTTTTTGAACAATAAGGACATGGCTTCTCTGCCTGAAGAGGTGGTTTTATCAGAGTCCATACAGATGTTTAAAATGAAATTGGATAAATACTTGCAAAACCATAACATACAGGGATATAATTTCTAATTAGTGGGGTAATAGCTGCTTGATCCACGAAACCATCTGACTGCTATTTTGGGGTCAATAAGGAATTTTTTCCTAGTTTGTTGCAAAATTGGAAGTGCTACAGACTAGGTTTTTTGCCTTCTTTTGGATCAACAGCAAAACCATATGTGAGGAAGGCTGAACTTGATGGACGCAAGTCTCTTTTCAGCTATGTAACTATGTAACTATGTAAGTGACCTCTTTCAGCAGGTAAATGCATCCTGACAAAAATCGTAAAATACAGGACAAAATTTAGAGCAGCACTACTAGGATATGCTGTGTGCACAACGATTTGATGATGGACATACAAAGGTAAAAAACAAAAGTACTGCAAATGTTTCAGAGTTTAACCCTTCATAAGTGCAAATGCCCTTATGCAAAAATTGTTCAGAAATAGTTTGAGGAAAATGACAAAGAGTTTATTGCATTGGCCTCCAGATCTCCCAGATATCAATTTGATTGAACATCTATGGGATGTTCAGGATCCACAAACCCTATACATGGTGGCCCCGCCGTGCACCTTGCAAGACTTAAAGGATCTGCTGCTAATGTCTCGGTGCCACAGGACATGTTCAGAGGTCTTGAGGAGTCCATGCCTCGACGCATCAGAGCCATTTTGGAAGCATGAGGAGAACTACACAAAATTAGGCAGGTGGTTTTAATGTTGTGGGTGATCAGTGTATATACAGTTTTTTGAGATTTGTACTTGCAAGTCTGAGAAAACTCGCCATCTACTAGTCCAACTGCGCAAAGCAGTTTTTCTCTATGTCTGGAATAATATGTTTTGTTCCTTGATATATACTTATATATATATATATTTGAACTTAAAACACTATTAATATTTTTTCTTTTTTTTGACTGAGTATTACACTTTGTTAGTATTGATATATCTTAAAACATTGATACATTCATAGATATTCTTTTCTCCATTAACAATCTAAATTTATTGTTTTTACAAGATGCAATGTGTGTGACTTTCCTCTTGTCCCTATCTGATTCTCCCAATCCGGGAGTGTTTCACTTATTTTAAGATTAGGCCATTCCCATTAGACCTGGATAATCAGTTCATTTACTTATCTACATCCTCCTCAGATTTCCATGAGTTGAAAACCATTTCATTTACAGCTGAGGCAAGCAGCTCCACCCTGATGTGTGAGTTAATTCTCAGATAATTATGTTTTTGGTTCTTGGTACTTATCAAACAGAGCTTAATTTATGGGAAAGTGAGGAAAAGTAAGACACTGGTGGCACTGGACATGCTTGCCCAAAAAAGTGACAAACCGTGGCAAGTGTAACTTAAAGGGACAGTACAGGCCTTCCAGAACACTTCATCTCCATAAAGTTGTCTGGGTGCCATGTCACATTAGTTTTAACCCTGCAAGTGAAAACATTGCCAATTCTGCTGGAACGACAATGTGTACATTGCCGAGGTTAAATGCATCTAGTGGCTGTCACTCTGACAGCCACTTGCTTATGACACAATAGCGGAGTAAAACTCGGCTATTTCAATCAGATGGTCTCACATTTGATTGGCGCAGCAAAGCGTTTTCCGCACATGTCTTCCTCCCAGTGCTTTCCTATGTAATCTCTATGATCTCAGTCTAGGAGGCAGAGCTTCCCCACGGAGACCGGTACGATGAGGGCTGAAAAGTAAGTAAAACTTACCCTTCCAGCCCTTACACAGTGGGGGGTAGGGGAAGGGGGGTATGCATATGTTTAAATAAAATCTATAGTGTTAGGAAAATATGTTTGTATTCCTAATGCTATTGTGTTCCTTTAAGTAGGGCATTAGAGATGCTATTTTATCACTGAAATACTAACAAGGTTATGAACGAAAGTGCGAATTCAGAGTGAGTATAACATTTAAGGTCAGAGTAGCTAAACTGGCCTTAACATAACAGCATAACAGACTTGATTTTTTTCAATTTTGGCTATTTTCCACCTTAAATTTTAAATTCACATTGAAACTAAACTAGGAAATAAAGAAAACTGAATCCAAATGGCATAATTTAGGCTAAAATAAAGAACGGCTTCTGAAAAAAATTCTCCAAATCGGCTCTACTCACAGCTTGATTATTAAATATTTTTATAATTCATAGTTTGGTTAATAACCCTGTTTGAATTTAGTTTGAATTTCTGTAGACGTCAACTTTAGTGAACAACCTTGATAGTACTGTTTTATATTTCGACTGGTCTGTCATGGAGGTTGCTCTTAACTAATTAAAATCTGCTATGCATGCTGGGAGTTGTAGTCTACAGCAGATTGAGAGGCTCTTTATTTTCCATTGAATCATATCAGTGACTAAAATAAGGCCTAGCACTAGGCTCATTGCTTGGGTGAAGTACATCTACCATGATCATTCTGTCATAAAACACTACATTTATTGGAAGATATCAGCCTTTACAGGTTTTTCAGCAAGACACAATATTTAGCTAGTGAATTAGAGAACACATATGAGACAGTGTTGGCAAAGGTAGGCCCCCCAAAACTCAAGACTACTGGGTGGACACATGTGTGGGGGGGAGGGGGCACATTGCATTAAAAAAGTAAGATGCAAACATTTCAACTAGAATGTGAACCTCAAAAATACAGATCTGACTGGCCAATTATGCAAGGACACATCAAGTATAGAGAAGCAAGGGACGGGTGTGTCCCCTACATACTTTCACTAAGTAAATACTAGCAAGCTAGGAGAAAAGGTAAGGTGTGATCAGGGGGCTGGTCCCTGCGTGCACTGAGCCTTGGGCTGGGTCAGTCTGATTGAAGGGATCAGGACATCCTGGTTTTAAGGCTGACGTTGATTTCAGACATGGGCTTGGTATAAATAGGTGCTCACCTGCTGCTTGTAGCACACATCATCTTAGAGCTCTCCTACCACTGCCAGAGACAGCAATACAGCTATCAGGTATGTAAAGAGCATCCAACCAGCAAGTGCAGGGATGCAGCTACTATTAGAATGTAACAAGCTAGAGCCAGAGGCAACTCAGGTGTCAGAATCTGGGGACTGAACAGGTAACAGGTGATTCTATTCCCTTAACCCTGGACAGTTCCAGTGAGTGAGCTAAGGAGAGGGTCACAGAGAACTCACAGATTTAGAACATAGGTTTGAATGGTATCTGACATTAACACTGTATCAACAGATTTGAATTTAAATATAGACATGAGTAATGAAGTTCAAAAAGTAAAAGTAATGAAGTGTTATGTTTTGGAAATCATTCTTTAGTGTTTTGCCTGTTTTATTCTTTAAGTTAACATTCCATGAGATAGTTTTAAATCCCCATATCTTTATCTGTTGGATCATATTTGTTTTGGTTGAAAAGAATACTTAAGTGATCTGTCATCACCTGTAAACCAATACTATTGAATATACTTGGTTCTGTTGAGCCATGCATCAGTTGTATAACTAGCAAAAATTGTTGGATGCATTTTGAAGGTTTGTGAACTTAAATCAAAGAAAGTTACTCTTAGACTTTAGAAATGTTCTAGAGATAGTGTTAGATTTTCACTTTGATGCAGGAAAAGCTTTCCTAAGTCTTCTTCTATGTGTCCACCATACTGATGATGGTATGGAATAATGTATTTTTTGTAATTTATTTTTTTGCAGGTATCATGCGGTCGACATTGTCCCTCTGCTGCCTGGCTCTTCTGTGCTTTGCCTTGGCAGAAGGTGCCCTCAGAAAACCAAAGAAGACAGCGCCAGCCCCTGATGCCACTGCCAATGCCACCCCCAAAGCTGAGCCTGAGGAGTCCGGTACCCCTGTAACAGTCCCCAAGACCCTGTCCCGAGGTAAGTCTCTGCTGAGAGAGGCACAGTGCTGACAGTAGCTGCTCTTACTGCTCTGGATAATTCGCTATGGCCTGTTACTCACATATTGTTGTTATTTACTAGAGTGTGACGTGTTATGAATTCAAAGTAAAATCTAAAGTTTAGAATTCAATAGCTGAAATGGGAAAAAATTGATTTCCAAGCCAGCTATGTTATAATTCATCTATCGATGCCTAAAATTTCAAATTTACTGACAATTCGCACTTTAGTGAAAAATCCAGCTAGTATTATTTGTAAAAATCCAAAATATTCAGCCGTGTGGTACAGCGAGGAAAAGCTTGAGTTTAAATAATTTCTTACTGAATCTGCTAAAGTAAACAGAGATCTGAGAAATGACAGTACATCTATTTATAAGATGATCGAGGCAATAATGTACAGCAGCATAGATTGACTTAAAGGAACACTCCAAGCACTATAACCACTTTGGCACCACAACCACTGCAGCCAAAAGCTCCTTCTTTGGAGCTTCCGGCTCTCTACCTGAGATAGCGAATAAAGGGAGCAGACTGCAATAAGAAGTCAAATCATTCTAAAATGAGGGGATGCCAGGGCACTCCTAAATCTGTCACCACTGTAATGGAGTTCTAGTGCAACTATATCTTGGCATATTCTTAGTGCCACAATTACTGTGGAAAAAAATAAAAAATAAACACCATTTTAATGACAAGCATTTATTTTTACAAAATGATGACATTAATTGATTGTGCAACCTATTCACATTGAATGTATGTTGCCATTCATCTAACATTTAATAAGAAAAAATATGTAATGAATACATTAATAAATATATAAATGAATAAGGAAACATTTTCACCCAATGCTGTCCCCTGTTTGAGTGATGAGTAAAAATGACACATGGGCATTGTTTGCTTGGCTGAAGTATTTGATTCAGATTTGTAACTTAGATATCCTGCTGACAATAACACATAACATGTTGTTCTACCAGTTGAATTTCTTTGAATGTGTGAATATTCTTACCTCTTCTTCCTGCAGGATGGGGTGATTCCATCAACTGGGTGCAGACCTACGAAGAGGCTCTTGCCAAGTCCAGAGGAACGTAAGTAATTGTTATATGGGAAATCCAGTATGTAGAATAGTAAGTGTACTACAATGTGGGACCATTAAGATTATGGTAAAACTATCCTTAACAAAGTACTCGAAAACGAGAGAAAATATCGATGTATAATCCCTGGTTAAAAAAAAACAATTTTTTTTTTTTTTAACCAGTTTATTTTTTGGCTATTTAATCCATCAAATAACATCTTTTATTTTTTTATGATCCGTCATGTTAACCTCTACATGTCTAGGCTTTCAGCAAGCATGTATTTACTGACTCATCACGTTAAATTTGGCTTTTGATTTTCAGAAAGAAACCCTTGATGGTAATTCACCATTTAGAAGATTGCCCTTACAGCCAAGGTGAGTGATGTATCCAGACTAAAATATTTTGACACAGTAAACCCTTATTGTGGCTCAGATACTCACTGTTTCTTAACTTTCCCTCGGTTAGCTGTATTAAATTTGTATGGAAATGCCCTGTAACAAAAGAAAATTAAGATGTGGTTTTGTAGTTGTTATTGCTTATAGCAGGGGTCCTCAAACTCCGTCCCCCCAGATGTTGCTAAACTACAACTCCCGTGATTCTCTGGCTAGCTATGTAATTCAAAGAATCATGGGAATTGTAGTTCAGCAACATCTGGGGAGCCGGAGTTTGAGGACCCCTGGCTTATAGCATACTATAAATACCAGTGAAGCCTTTTGTCAAATGTAATAACAAGGATAGGTACCATGTATACAACCTATACAATAGTACAACTTAAATTTGTGCATCGTAGAAGCTCTGATAACTCCAGCCTCTATCAGTAAATGTGTTAGAAAATAAAGTTTTCCAGCTTATTGTCTAGCGATGTAAAGATCATGGTATAAATAATACAAGACATATACCTAGCAATAAACAATTTGTTTAATTATTGAGGTTTAAGTCTGCAATATATTGTTAATATTATTACAAGTACAAGTAAGCAGCATTGTTAATGGTATAATGGAAGGGAGGGAGAGGTGTATATGTTTATTCAATTATTTTTTTCTGCGGTATGTAAAAGGAAGTAGGATATAATAAGTATTTTTTTTCTTCTTGTGTACAGCTCTGAAGGAGGCATTTTCTGCAGATCCCATGGCACAGAAACTGGCTCAGGAGGATTTCGTAATGTTGAATGTTGTGGTAAGATTCTAATCTCTAAATTGTCATCTGTATTGGAATGTAGAACAAACTGAACAATACTATCTGCTACTCTATGACGATCACATTAAGACTCCACACTGTGTCCTATCTTAAAACAAATGGTAAATCAATAGGTAATGATCCAGACTGCTAACATTCCGTATTAGAACCTGTCCCACAAACAACCGGTGTAAGCAGGATAGAGAGTGTCCTACCCTCCACTCTATGCCGAATGGACATCCATATCAACCAGCATGGATAGAGAATGACAGAGACAGGAATTAGAATTTTACATTTAGCATTTTTAGCTCTCTGTTCATTTTGTAACTGTGTCTACTTTTTATTGCAGCATCCTGTAGCTGATGATAACCAGTCTCCAGATGGACACTATGTTCCTAGGATTATATTTGTCGGTAAGTTGCTGATGGAAAGTTTGCTTTGCAAGGCGTGTAAAGATTGGAAAAAAACTGCAGATAGAAAATAGTTACATTGACATGAACACACATCTAAAACATTAACTGGAAAAACTTTTTTTTTTTTTTTTTTTTATTCATTTTATTTTACACAGACCCAAATGATATACATACCATTAGATTAATCCTTTAGTTGGAAAATTAGCTTGGAGGCTCATTCTACATTCTATGTAATACTAAAACAAATGTTTGACTCTTCCCATTGTTAAACTGAAAAAAAAAAAAAACACAAAAAAGTACCTAAAGTTTCATCTCGATGTATGGTGTTTTTTTGTTTTTGTTTTCTTTTTTCTTACAGTCGCATGTTCTCAATCTAACATTACTGTATAATATATAACAAGCTATTACTGGAAACCAATAGGTGTATAGGCGCTTTTAGGTATCACACAGTGGGTTAACGTGCAATTAAGGTGTTTTCCCTTTCACCTTAAGACATAAATAAACAAATAGAAGTAAAACCACTATTAATATGCACAGCACCCTGTGTTAGAGTGGAAGGAAAAAATAATTTTTACATATACTTTACAGTATCAGGCAATATTCAATGGTACAGGAATACTGTTTCTAAAAAGAAATAGATAAAAAGAAAAAATACATATAGTGTAATCTATTTCAGTACAATGAGTGGATGTATGGTTAAACGCACAAGTATGGAGCCATGCCTAACCTTTTGTCTTTTTAATTTTGCACACAGACCCATCAATGACCGTCAGAACAGACCTTGCCGGTAGATATGGAAACAGACTCTACGCTTATGAAGCTGGTGATATTCCTGAATGTGAGTATTATGAATATGGAACATAACTAACATATTATATTTATTGACAGCCATACTTAAATGTAAATTGTAAACATTAATAAAGCTATAGCTGAGATGTAACTATAGTCAACTATAGATGTAAAATAGTCAACTTGCCATTTTAGAGCAGTGATGGCTAATCTTTGCATTCCAATGTCTTTAAATTACATTTCCTATTTAAAGTTGTGTGTACATTATGGGAACTGTAGTGTGAAGTTATCGTGGTTTCAGAATGTAAATTAACATTCAAAAAACTGATGGTGACTTTTGTGACTATATTGCCCAGCTGTTCTTAATCCCCCTCAATGTAAATTACTGTATGATATGTATCCCTTTGTTTACGCCAGGGAAAGGCAACCTTCAGCACTCCAGATGTTGTGGACTACATCCCCCATAATGCTCTTACACCCATAATGCTGGCAAAGCATCATGGTAGGTGTAGTCCAAAACATCTGGAGTGCCGAAGGTTGCCTATGCCTGGTATACGCCATATATTCTATTGCATGGACTTCCTATAATGCATTTTCTTTGTATACTTTTTTTCCACAGTGGTCACAAATATGAAGAAAGCTAAAATCCTTCTGCACACTGAGCTGTGAGCATTACGTGTAGAGTGAATAGTGCATCAGATGTGACCGTGATGCATGTAGAATCTTCTCCCAGAAGAAATCAGCAGAAACCATCCAGAACCATTTCATTCAACCCTCTAAAATATCTCATCTGTGCAATGGACCTGAACAGCTCTCTCAAGCCATTGATCATCCATACAGCTCTGGAAAGCTCAATTCCCACGAGTCCTTGTTTTATAAAGACTACAGTATATCACAATTCATGTGTCAAGCCCACCTCTCTACCCAGGAAGATTTCAATATGGCCAGTTTTTCTCATGTTTGTTTCCACACGCCATTTTCTGCTAATCCACAACTTGATATTGACTGTAGCTTAACATCACTAACTTTTCTGTTATTTCCCACTTTCTTATAGCACTCCTCTCCAGTGCTATAGCTGTTTAACATTGTATGCATCTCATTGGCAGTCTAACAAGTAAAACCAGTAGCACTGAGCTTTTGTCTTACATGATCTGGTGAACCAGCATCCCTCTTATACCTCATTGAATGCCACCTTCAGTTTCTGTTTCCTATGTATCACAAACTATTATGGACTGCCTCCGGTTCCATAGTTAGTTATGAGCAGTATTGCTGCTTCTCCTGCTTTATACACTGCTGTATTTATTAAAACATTGTGTATCTTGTAGATTCTCTACTCTACTGATACCTACAGTTTGCCAAAATTGATTACTACGCCAGATAATCTGCATACATTTTATTACACATACAATACTCTGGAGCTCACAGGTCAACTGCTCTATAACGTTATACATTTTATACTAAATATTTACTGTTTGTTTGTAAGTTGAAAGAATAAATTTGTTTTATCCAAAAAAAATATTAATATCATGCTTTTTGTGTTTTATAAAGTTTTCTATACTAACAGGTGGTGGGAAAAGTGAAGATGTTTATATTTTTTAGACATTCCTGGGAAGTAATATGAAAATTGTATTGATTATATCAAACCAATTCATTTACAAAATCACAACAAAAAAGTCAGTTTAGGACCAAAAATGTCTAATATTTACAATAATAAAGCCATCCTTATGTACTTGCAATGTGACATTTATAACCTTTGCTACTACAAAGACCTATATAATATATTTATTTTTATTAGTTTGAAAAATCTGATCTTATATTTAATTTTTTATCTACAAAACTTCATGTAGCTAAAAGTGGCTTATGCCTCCAAATCACAAACCATTACTGGCAATGTTAAAGGGACACTCCACTGTACAAATACAAAAAATTTAAAAATCACTGTTTAGTAGATATATCCGAAATGAAATCTTGCATGTTTTCTAAAAATAGCTTGCAAATGCTTAAATTCTCTTGTATAGTTCCTTTGCAATCCCTACCAGTCTTCCTATTAGGATCTTTATGGGAATTAATTCAATTCATTTTCATTAATTAAAATTTTTCATAAAAAATAATAAAATTAATAATCTTTATCAAAAGTTAGGGGTTGATATTTTATTGACGCTATTATATAGAATATTTTTGCTTTTTTTATTTATCAATAAATGTCTGCAGGATTTCTCTGGAGCAGATTGATTCAGTGTTAGTGAATTATAGTTAAAAGCTCTGGTAGAGATAGGTAGGTAGAATTTCTAAGAACTTTTTCCCTGGTAGAGATTAGTCAAGTTTACAGATAAGTAAAGATTAAAATAGTTTCAAGATGTCTGCTGTCAATAGGATCTCAAGAGATCGTGCGAGTAGTATGATGAATCGATGATGTGAGAGGATGAGAAGATCCTTCTATCCCATCTGTTAACCTTCTGACCTGGTCCAATGGGATGTTATTGGCTGTTGACGTCATTTTGATATATATTTTTATATGTTTCAAACAGGAGGTGGAGCTGTTGGCTTACGTCAGGAATATTACCCGCTATTATCATACAGGGTTAACTTCTTGTTTTGGACAATTTATGAATAGTGATGCCCCGAACGGTTCGCCGCGGACGGCGAACATATGCGGTAAACTTTGACCCTGTACCTCACAGTCAGCAGACACATTCCAGCCAATCAGCAGCAGATCCTCCCACCTCCTGGACAGCTCACTAAGAATGCAGCTTCACACTGAATGTAAAGTGGATGCTGTCCAGTAGGTGAGAGGGTCTGGGAGGGAGGGGATGCTGTCCAGGAGGTGGGAGGGTCTGCTGCTGATTGGCTGGAATGTGTCTGCTGACTGTGAGGTACAGGGTCAAAGTTTACCGCATATGTTCGCCGTCCGCGGCGAACCGTTCGGGGCATCACTATTTATGAATATTTTAATTTTAAGATTTTTTTTAGTCAGCGTTTTTTTTTCCTCTCTCAGTTTGGACTTTGGTTTTTCAAACCAATGTGTCCTTGCTTACCTAAGCATTATTTTATTTCAAGATTTTTAAATTGTCCAAATTATTTTTTTATAGATAATTACATCTTTATATGTAGGTATATGTACACTGCTCAAAAAAATAAAGGGAACACAAAAATAACATCCTAGATCTGAATGAATTAAATATTCTTCTAAAATACTTTGTTCTTTACATAGTTGAATGTGCTGACAACAAAATCACACAAAAATAAAAAAAAATGGAAATCAAATTTTTCAACCCATGGCGCTCTGGATTTGGAGTCACACTTAAAATTAAAGTGGAAAAACACACTACAGGCTGATCCAACTTTTATGTAATGTCCTTAAAACAAGTCAAAATGAGGCTTAGTAGTGTGTGTGGCCTCCACGTGCCTGTATTGCCTCCCTACAACGTCTGTGCATGCTCCTGATGAGGTGGCGGAGGGTCTCCTGAAGGATCTCCTCCCAGACCTGGACTATAGCATCTGCCAACTTCTGGACAGTCTGTGGTGCAACGTGATGTTGGTGGATGGAGTGAGACATGGTGTCCCATATGTGCTCAATTGGATTCAGGTCTGGGGAACGGGCGGGCCAGTCCATAGCATCAATGCCTTCATCTTGCATGAACTGCTGACACACTCCAGCCACATGAGGTCTAGCATTGTCTTGCATTAAGAGGAACCCAGGGCCAACCGCACCAGGATATGGTCTCACAAGGGGTCTGAGGATCTCATCTCGGTACCTAATGGCAGTCAGGCTACCTCTGGCGAGCACATGGAGGGCTGTGCAACCCCCCAAAGAAATGCCACCCCACACCATTACTGACCCACTGCCAAACTGGTCATGCTGGAGGATGTTGCAGGCAGCAGAACGTACTCCATGGCGTCTCCAGACTCTGTCACGTCTGTCACATGTGCTCGGTGTAAACCTTCCTTTATCTGTGAAGAGCACAGGGCGTCAGTGGCGAATTTGCCAATCTTTGAGCAGGCACATGCACATTTGTGGCCTGCTGGAGGTCATTTTGCAGGGCTCTGGCAGTGCTCCTCCTGTTTCTCCTTGCACAAAGGCGGAGGTAGCGGTCCTGCTGCTGGGTTGTTGCCCTCCTACGGCCTCCTCCACGTCTCCTGATGTACTGGCCTGTCTCCTGGTAGCGTCTCCATGCTCTGGACACTACACTGACAGACACAGCAAACCTTCTTGCCACAGCTCGTATTAATGTGCCATCCTGGATGAGCTGCACTACCTGAGACACTTGTGTGGGTTGTAGACTCCGTCTCATGCTACCACTAGCGTGAAAGCACCGCCAGCATTCAAAAGTGACCAAAACATCAGCCAGGAAGCATAGGAACTGAGAAGTGGTCTGTGGACACCACCTGCAGAACCACTCCTTTATTGGGGGTGTCTTGCTAATTGCCTATAATTTCAACCTGTTGTCTATCCCATTTGCGCAACAGCATGTGAAATTGATTGTCACTCAGTGTTGCTTCCTAAGTGGACAGTTTGATTTCACAAAAGTGTGATTAACTTGGAGTTACATTGTGCGGTTTAACTGTTCCCTTTATTTTTTTGAGCAGTGCATATATTTCTATATATGTATATGTTGCTAACTAAGAATAAATCATACTGTATTACTATATTGCATAACTAAACTTAATTTTATACTGTATAGCAATATGCATGTGAGTTTGCTTAACTATACTTTTCAATTAACACATACTTTTCTTATCTTTGTTCTTATTTTTATTGACACAGATGTATTTACTCACTGTCTGGCTCTTTAGCTGACAGGGCCAAATTTTTGGAAAAACTGTTTAATTTATAAAAGTGTCAACTTCTATTGAAATATGCACTTTTTGTAAAATATAAAAAAGAGGGCACTCTTCACACAGAGCTTTTCAGCAAGCTAAAGTGCTTTAGGGGTATAGAGTGTCCCTTGAAGTTTTGATGTAGAATTTGATTTGATACCCTGCCATGGTTGTTTAAAACTTAAATGGCTACTGCAAACAAAAAACAGTGTTTTCATAAAACCCTGTTTTTTGTTAAAGTAACCCTTGCCCTACTGCTTCCCATCCCCAGTAAATTTAAAGCAACACTCTGGGATCCATAACCAATACAGCAGTCTGCTTAGTGGTTATGGTGTCAGGAATGCCATGGCACCCTCCATTAGAATTTGTGAAATTGTTTTATAATGGTTGAAAAACTTGTTGGCTGAAAGCATAAGCGAAGTACTATCAGCCAATGAGTTTGGTCCTATATCGAACCTGCATAGCTCAGTGAAGAAATCTGGCTTCTCGTGTGGGAAAGTACCAGATGTGAAGTGGGTAACTTGGGGCCTATAAACGTTGTCAAACACAAACAGTTGCACAGATTACTCTTGGTGGGCACCTCCTCGCACCGTAACCACTGCAGCACGATATAGTGGTTATGATGCTTGGAGTTTTAGTTTGTTGTAGTTGTTATGGAGTACAGAGTCAAATTTTAGCGGGTAGTCACTCAATGCTTCCACTATCGTGGCCGGAGAAGTGCAAATTACCCAATAGTTCATCAGCTGAGAGTGTCTGTTGGTCTCGAATATTTATTTTAATTTTTATTATTAATTTGCACTCATGATATGCAGATCATTTCTTGGAAATTAGTATCCCACTAATATATTGTAATCAATAATCACCCTTCCGTGTCTATGAGTCAGCACTTGATGTAAACCTCATTAGGCAGTTTTTGGTTCTGCCCTCCCCATACCAGGCATGGAACGAACTGTCAATAATTAGTATGGACAGTGGCAAAACATTCCTGGGTTTCAACATTCTTTTTTAACATTGCCAATAGAATTCTGTCACCTTTACTTACAGTGCAGTTTAATATTTCCAGCTACTAAACAAAGAGAACTGTTTAATATGTTGTAAAAACTGCACACAATTTATACCAATGATCCAGCATTTTGATATGAAGTAGCATAAATTTCTGAGGAGCCATATGTAACTATATGCAAGCAGGCTCAACCCTATTAAAAGCATAAATCCTCCTGCAGTTCTTGCTCTGCTCCCTCATGTTCCCTGCTGTGATGCCAGGAGCCGGAATTTGACTTCACTCCGGTCCTGACATCACTAAACGGCGCACGAGAGCTTGAAGATTACATAAGGCCCACTGGACCCCAAGGAAAGGATCCACTCCAGCTCTCCCAAAGGTAGGTAGGCTGGAAGGACAAAAAATTATAATTTGTGAGTGTGAAAAAAAAGTGTGTGAATGTGTCAGTATTGATATCAGCCAGTTCAATGCTTTCCTATAGGAAGGCATTGGAAGGCTATTGTGCACGCTCGACAAAACACTGCACTGCGCCATTCAGCATCTCTTCATAGAGATGCATTGAATCAATGCATCTCTATGGGGAACATTCAGCACCTCCATGCAGAGTGTGGAGATGCTGAACGTAGATGATGCCCATTGTGCAGCACTGGACTCGGAATCACCTTTAGGGCCGTCTGAGTGACTGTCACTATAGGTGTTCATAGAAAGCAATGTAAACACTGCCTTTTTTCTAAAAAGGCAGTGTTTAGCCTACAGAGACAGGATGTAGCCACCAGAACCACTACATTAAGCTGTAGTGGTTATGGTGACTATAGTCTTCCTTTAAGAATTGTATTTTTGTCACTGAAAATTAAACTTTGTTAAAAAAACAAACAAAAAAAAGTGGGTCCTAGATTCAAAGCAAATTTGTCAAGCCCTGATGTAATTCAAACACTAAGGACCTTAGTCAAATCAGACCCAGAGGCATAAAAGTTTAGACACTGAAAACCTATCCAAATAACATCTGGGTAACATAAGGTTGATCAGTAATTAACACATTACACACCAGAGATCACTTACATACAATATTTTTATTTATCCTCTTTATAGCAGCACCCATCCTTTTTTTTTTTTTTTTTAAATTAAATATGTGTGTTTGGCAGTGAATCACAGGACACATCCCTATGTACACTGATTTCTGAGCTCTGCATACCAAATACAAATCATGTGTCATGAAGACAGGGCTCCATTCTCACCCAATCTCAAGACCAAATGGCACAAAAATTATATTCCATTAATTCCAGTTAAAGAAATTTTCATCAGATGTCACCTATCTGGTTGTCATTATTACAATAAGTAAACAATATTCAACCAAAAACCGTGTAAAAATGTTTTCATAGTATTCAAAAACCATTATATAGACCATTCATAATTCAACGGCTACAAAAATTAAAAAAATAATAAAAATAGATGATGTAGTTTAGATAGGAGGCAAAATACACAGGTACAGGATTGACTAGGATTGAAGTACAGTTTGATGTAACCATAGAAAACAAATGTCTTTAAAGTAGGCATCTCAAAGTTTGTCTCCCAGCATGTTGCTGAATTACAGCTCCTGTGATTCTCATGTTTTCTTTTTCGAATCCAGAAAATTTTGGGAGTCGTTGGTCATCAACACATGGGGAGCGAGAGATCTCTGCTTTGAAGTTTCACAAAACATTACAAATAATTTTGCTTCTGTAACAGAAGCCAATGTTATTTTTACAGTGCAGCCCAAATACAGAAAAAAAAACAAACAAAAAAAAACTCTGGCATTTTACAATACCCTTTTCCACCAAGCTCTAGTCGCAGCACATGTCCAGAACGAACAGCAATCCATGTATTCCTTCATCCAATAAGAATTGACTGTGGGCAGGCCTGTCTCGCCTACCCTATTTCTCATGGAAAATTGGAAAAAAACTAATTGAATTAGACAGATGCAAGAAAAAATAAATATATACCTTAGTCAAATCAGACCCAGAGGCATAAAAGTTTAGACACTGAAAACCTATCCAAATAACATCTGGGTAACATAAGGTTGATCAGTAATTAACACATTACACACCAGAGATCACTTACATACAATATTTTTATTTATCCTCTTTATAGCAGCACCCATCCTTTTTTTTTTTTTTTTTAAATTAAATATGTGTGTTTGGCAGTGAATCACAGGACACATCCCTATGTACACTGATTTCTGAGCTCTGCATACCAAATACAAATCATGTGTCATGAAGACAGGGCTCCATTCTCACCCAATCTCAAGACCAAATGGCACAAAAATTATATTCCATTAATTCCAGTTAAAGAAATTTTCATCAGATGTCACCTATCTGGTTGTCATTATTACAATAAGTAAACAATATTCAACCAAAAACCGTGTAAAAATGTTTTCATAGTATTCAAAAACCATTATATAGACCATTCATAATTCAACGGCTACAAAAATTAAAAAAATAATAAAAATAGATGATGTAGTTTAGATAGGAGGCAAAATACACAGGTACAGGATTGACTAGGATTGAAGTACAGTTTGATGTAACCATAGAAAACAAATGTCTTTAAAGTAGGCATCTCAAAGTTTGTCTCCCAGCATGTTGCTGAATTACAGCTCCTGTGATTCTCATGTTTTCTTTTTCGAATCCAGAAAATTTTGGGAGTCGTTGGTCATCAACACATGGGGAGCGAGAGATCTCTGCTTTGAAGTTTCACAAAACATTACAAATAATTTTGCTTCTGTAACAGAAGCCAATGTTATTTTTACAGTGCAGCCCAAATACAGAAAAAAAAACAAACAAAAAAAAACTCTGGCATTTTACAATACCCTTTTCCACCAAGCTCTAGTCGCAGCACATGTCCAGAACGAACAGCAATCCATGTATTCCTTCATCCAATAAGAATTGACTGTGGGCAGGCCTGTCTCGCCTACCCTATTTCTCATGGAAAATTGGAAAAAAACTAATTGAATTAGACAGATGCAAGAAAAAATAAATATATACACCGTTTCCGTCCAGATAGGTGCGCTTGTAAAATAACTTTCCTTTGCAATGGAAGTAAAACATTTGCAATGATAGTGTCACTAAAATGGCCTGAATTGCCTAAAAATGGAATGCTGTTCTCCAGGGGACTATGAACTCCAGCTCTCATTGCTCCCTACAAACCAGTCACAGATGGGTGTAAACAAAAACTGTAGTTTACGAACAGCTATAGTTATGAATAGCTTTCCCTAACTCTAGTTCAGGAGTGGTGGTAACATTTTAACAATGATTAAGTCAAAAACTATATGGAAGATAGGTGTGATTATACAGACAGAAACAGGTAATTCAGGTAAAGGCACAGACTTGAAAGAAAAAAAAATATGCTTTTTGTTTTGCTGAGTAAGCCGCGTGATCGTTAATTTGTGCTGTATGAGTAGACGCAAGCTACTTTTCCATACAGTTTCCTGCAAGTTACAAAGGCTCATGAGTAACTGTCCTATCCACCATGTTCATTCACATATAGGGAATGTACCCAGGCAGAGACACTCATCAATTAGTGTCGATAACAGAGTGAAAGAAAATACAGCATTACAAGATCAACTGCAATCACATGGAAAATGCAGTTATAGGTTTTTTTTCCCCCTTTCATTTTACCAGAGTAGCAATCCTAAAAGTACAAGAATTACAGTGGGGGCAGTTTACAAGAGATAAGGTAAAGAGACAAAAGGCACAACCATATAGACAAATATCCCTGTTAGAAGTAGGAATCCTTTCTGCATCGGTGGCCAGAAGCATCTTACATTATCATATACCCTCAAGAGGTAGTGGAACACCTGGTAATTACCCCCAGGGGCTTAAACAAACTGCTTATGTTCCACACCTTCACACAGTTGCTTTCTAGTGAGCATATTCCCTCCTCCCTGAGTTAGACTGGGCATACAGCCTCCCAAATGAAGCCCTCCATGATCAAGCAAGGACATGTGCTACCGAAAGACCCCCACCCGGATGGACAGAGCCGACTCTGCTTTCCTGGCTTTTGGACGCACTTTCTGCTTGCAGATATGTTTGTCATTCTGAAGAGTTTCCCCTTTCTCACTGTAAGAAGGAAAGAAACACATAAGCATCATGTTTAATATCAAGAAGCAAGAATGGGAAGTCAATTTGTATAAAGAGTAATGACCTAAGTTTTCATGCTCATTTATTTTGTAGAAGTAACACAGAGCAAATCTTTGCTACTATATTCAATTATGGTTATTAATTATGTACTATTTTCCTGTTAGTAGTTCCGTAAATGTCAATACACTGAAAATACAATTAAAGAGAAAAATAAAAACAAAATGTTTACCTGCACTGACTGCTGCCGAGGACATCAGCAGGAAGTTTTCTTGCAATAGCTTTGTGACGAGAGCAATCTCGCCACATTGCATTGGAAAAGCCTGGTTGCTTGCCTGCTGCCTTTGGACTATGTCCCCATGTTAAAAGACATCTTTTTCCCGGCAGAAAAGACTTATTCGTGCTTTTCTGCCTGGGATTCGGTAGATTCAATCTACCAAACAACCGCACGAATGAATAGACCACCTGGGAGCTGGAGTGTGCCGGCAATTAACCTCACTGAAGCTGCGGTTAACCGCAGCTTAATTGGCGAATGCTGGGTGGCCGCCATTCGTATAACGAACACGAGGTCATGGCCATTTTACACATGCGAACGTACAGCGGTGTTCGACGCTTAATTCATGGAACTAAAATCGGACACAGTTTTGCGCGGACACCGCTGACGCCACCGACCTCCCTTCTTGTTCAGTGGAAGTACACGAACGGCCGGTGTTCGGTAGTTTTACTTGTCTATGTTATACCCCAGATAGGAATCCCATGGAGCCCATTCGCATGAGAACTGACTGTGTAAAGACTTTGCTCCATGGCGATTGAACTATATTCGTGTAGTCTGAGTGCCATTCGCTTATTAATGTGCGCTCAGACCTGAGCTATCTGGGGACATGTTAAATGTATAGTTTTATTGTAACGTGTCTCACATAGTGTATTTTAATAGTAATTCGTGTTGTAGTAGACCCACGTGCATAATGGCGATTTGCCTTTGTCCTGGGAGATAATTGAATTACTTCTCAATTATCTCCAAGGCAGAGGGGAGGAAGCCAGGATGCATTGTGGGAATATAATGTGACTGTGTGTCCTATTTGTCAACTTGTCTGTCTTTTGTCACAGTCTCCCATTTGGTCCCTTAGGGGAGTGTCCACCAGGTGGGAGACCTGCATAAATACTGGGCCAGTTGCCCTCATTAAACAGACCACTGCTTGACCCTCAACACGGAGCCTTGTTTCGTCTTTGGGGGTGATTTACTGAATGCTGATAGAGACTGATTGCTAGGAGTGTAAGCCGCTTGGATGCTTTTCCTATTCGTCTGCTAGCAGTGATTTGTATGGGGCCAGTTTGTGTGTTTTGAGTGCTATATTGGATGCCGTTCGGGAGTTTGGAGCATTCCCTTATTGGCGGTTCGTGAGTTTGGTGTTCTACAATAGCTGTGCCTGCATCTCTGAGAAGGGGACGATCGCCTAAACGGTTTTTACCCCTTGTGTGCAAAACGGTCCGTTACAATTGGTGGCAAGCGGCGGGATCGTTCCCACAGACAAAAGGACAGCTACAGGTGACACCATTCCGTGGATTTTTACAATTTGAGGGCAACGCATGTCCCAGTACAGCGACCCTGACAGCACCGAGATGGAACCAGCAGTGGAGTATGATGAGGGTGTCATGGATGACCGAGATGCGCTGCGCAAAGGCATCTGGTACCAGGCACTGGGTATTGTGGAGTACCAGCGGGGCGAGAGACTCCCCAAGGAAGACCAGCGACTGCAGAAGTGACTAGCCCTGCGGATGCCCTTTCTGGGAGAGCAGCCCCTGGATGAATGGGTGAAGGAATTGGAAGTCCGAGTATGGCAGGAGATTTGGCTGGAAGATGCCTACCAGGCGCTCTGGTGGTATGGGGCACAGTATCTGCCCTGGACAGCCGAGCATGACAAGCCAGAGGGAGAGGAGTTTGATGGTCCTGGCTTGTTATGGGAGTCTTTTGCAGAGCCTGAGTTTGGGAGCGCTACACAAGCCCGGTTCAGTGATCTCTTGGAGTGGAGGAAGAGCAGGTATGACTGGGACGACACTCACGAAATTGAGCAAGACCTGGTCCACCTGGTGACCCGAGAGATGGAGCTGGAGCAGGGCTACCAAGATCTGTTCCACTCCAGTGAGAAGGCTCAGCAGGGAAGCGGAGACCCAGATCCAGACCCATTCAGCTGGGTAGATTACTGGGAAGAACCCCAGGTGGCGGGTGGAGATGAGACCGAGGTCTCTCCACCAGTATTGCAGGGAATTGGGAGCCCGAGCTCCATTCCCCAGCGGGACATATTGCAGGGAATTGAGAGCCCAAGCTCCATTCCCCAGCGGCAGGCTGAGTTACAGGGGGCAGAGACAAGTGGTCCTGTCCCCCAGCAGCAGTGTACCTTGCAGGGAGAGGAGAGCAGCATCCTCCCTCCCCAGTGGCAGGGTGAGCTACAGGGATGCTGGGCGGTCGGCTCAGATCCCCAGCGGCAGTATGATTTTTTGGGAATTGGGAGACCAGTCTCCATTCCCCAGCGGGAGATATTGCAGGGAATTGGGAGCCCAGTCTCCATTCCCCAGCGACAGGATGATTTATTGGGAATTGGGAGCCCAGTCTCCATTCCCCAGCGGCAGTACGATTTATTGGGAATTGGGAGCTCAGTCTCCATTCCCCAGCGGCAGAGTGTCCTACCAGGAATAGAGAGCCCAGTCTCCTTTCCCCAGCAGCAAGACTCTGTATTGGGAGCAGAGACAGTCGGTCTCCCTCCCCCATGGCAGGAAGTATGTATAGGAGAGGAGTGTGTTACCCCCTCTACCCAGCGGCAGCTTAATGTACCAGGGGGAGACAGGAAGCCCCACAACTGTGCAGATGGGACCGTGGTCTCTGCACGTACAGCACAGGGTGTAGGGACGGTCGGTTCTGCCCCCCAGTGACAGGGCTGTTTAGCCAAAGGGGAGACAGTCGGTCTCCCCCCTCCGGCAGCCCAGCGGTGTGTCTAAAGCGGAGACAGTCGGTCTCCAGCAGCAGGGCTGTGTATCTAAAGGGGAGACAGTTGGTCTCCAGCAGCAGGGCTGTGTATCTAAAGGGGAGACAGTCGGTCTCCAGCAGCAGGGCTGTGTATCTAAAGGGGAGACAGTCGGTCTCCCCCTCAAACAACCAGGCTACCACCCCAGTAGCGCTGGCAACAGGGCAGAGTACCGCTGGTCTCTGCCCACACAGCAACCCACCAAGTCAGCATACCCGTACCCAGCACAGCCGTGGTGAGGCACCTGGACATGGACAAGCTTCTCCTCTACCCAGGTGTAGTAACCATTTTTTGTGGGTGGGCTGTTGATTGTGTTTTGTGGGTGGGCTGCTGGACTAACAAGGGCACTGACCGGCAGGAGGTCAGATACCCTGTTAGTCTGTTTGGAAAAGGGGAGAGATGTGACGAGAGCAATCTCGCCACAATGCATTGGAGAAGCCTGGTTGCTCGCCTGCTGCCTTTGGACTATGGCCCCATGTTAAAATACATATTTTTCCCGGCAAAAAAAACGTATTCGTGCTTTTCTGCCTGGGGTTCGGTAGATTCAATCTACCGAACAACCGCACGAATGAATAGACCACCTGGGACCTGGAGTGTGCCGGCAATTAACCTCCCTGAAGCTGCGGTTAACCGCAGCTTAATTGGCGAATGCTGGGTGGCCGCCATTCGTATAACGAACACGAGGACGCGGCCATTTTAAACATGCGAACGTACAGTGGTGTTCGACGCTTAATTCACGGAACTAAAATCGGACACAGTTTTGCGCAAACACCGCTGACGCCGCCGACCTCCCTTCTTGTTCGGTGGAAGTACACGAACGGCCGGTGTTCGGTAGTTTTACTTGTCTATGTTATACCCCAGATAGGAATCTGGGACATGTTAAATGTATAGTTTTATTGTAATGTGTCTCACATAGTGTATTTTAATAGTAATTCGTGTTGTAGTATCCCCACGTGCATAATGGCGATTTGCCTTTGTCCTGGGAGATAATTGAATTACTTCTCAATTATCTCCAAGGCAGAGGGGAGGAAGGCAGATATCACGCACAAGGCAGATACACACACATATATACACACTGACACATACACATCTTGATACACAGATACACAAACTGGCACATACACACAGATTCACACACATTGGCAGATACACACACTGACACAGGTACACATACACACAGGCACATACACGTTTAACTTACCTATTTTCTTCCTTCAGTGCTGCAGGCTGCGGATGGTGTGCCAGGTCAGCAGCTGCTCACTCCCCGCTGCACTCCCTCTCCCTCCAGCCGGCGCGCTCTGTCTGGGAGGAAGTGCTGTAACTTCCTCCCAGCATCCCATACATCGGGAATGGCAAATCACAGCGGAACCCAATTTTGTTCTAGCAGAACCATAGGGTTCTATGGATCACCAATTGGGAAACGCTGCTATAGGGTACAGGAGAGTTATATGAGATTAAGGGCAGATATTTGCACTCTGCTGCATACCTTTACAGTGATCCCTGTGGGCTCTATATAAGAAATCTTTGAAAAGCAAGCAAAGGATTTCAGTAGTTGTTTAGCACTAAGGCGTTATTCCAACTACCACATAAATAGAGGACATGAGATGGCGAAATCTAAAGATAGATTCCTATTATTGCACCAACTCAATTTCACAAAATTGGATAAGCCAATTAGAGGGAGGTGGGGAAAAGAAAAACAGTCAAATAGGAATGGTGAATACAAAGAATCAGTGCTTCTACTTCAGTTTTTCTTTTTCCCACCCAAAGCTTATATTTTTACAATGTTAAAATGTAGAAATGTAGTTTCTTATGTATCAATCTATAGACAGAAGTGGATAAATTATACATAGTTTCTACTTTTAGCCCGAATGCTTTGCAATAGTGTTTGATCCTAGAATAGGACCTTAAACAGCAGCAGATTGAATATAATGCAGAGATTAGCTGGATAGATGGCATTAGTATTTTTTTTGTGAAAAATTGCAGAATTAAAGTTTGTTTAGGTTAAGCCACCTTATTGTTCCTTCAATATTCCTATAAACCCACCTTTGACCTCTGCAGCCAATAAACTACTTTCAATTACTTCCTCCCTCGGGCTATCACAGTGGGCAAATTCACCCACCCATGTTGCTGGCAATACCCTCGACCTAATCTTCACTTATGCATGTACGGTATCTAATATCTGCAACACTCCCTATCCTCTCTCTGATCACCACCTCTTATCGTTTGCTCTCACGTACCCCCTCACCCAACAACCTCCACCTAACCAGCCTCAACTCAGGAGGGACCTTAATTCTCTTGATCTCCAACAGTTGTCAGCTGACATTGATCCACAACTGCTGTCCATCCCTTCCCTATCCTGTCCTTCACTGGCCATCTCCATATATAACTCTACTCTTACATCTGCCTTGAACACTGCAGCGCCACTCCAAGCAAGCACCTCAAGGAGGACCCGCCCCCAACCATGGCATACTAAATCAACGCGCTACCTGCAAAGATGCTCCCGGTGTGCTGAACGCTCCTGGAGGAAGTCTCGCACCCAGTCAGACTTTCTCCATTATAGATTCATACTGTGTTCATACAGTGCAGCCCTTGCCCTTGCCAAACAGTCCTATTTTTCCTCTCTCATTAGTTCATGTTCCCGCAACCCCAGGCGTCTCTTTGACACCTTTAATTCTCTTCTTCGCCCCGCTGTGGCCACCCCCCAAACCAACCTTACTGCTGATAACTTTGCATGTTACTTCACTGACAAAATTGAACAGCTAAGGAAAGAATTCTCCCCTCCTTGCCTTTCTGTTTCTCAATCACACATTGATCATGCCTTTCCTACCCTTCAGACATTCTCCCCAGCCACTGACCAAGAGGTGGCTGCTCTTCTTTGCTCCTCTCGCCCCACCACTTGCCCGCTCGATCCTGTCCCATCTCACCTTATCAGATCTCTCTCCGCTTGTCTCGTGCCTTCTCTAACACACATCTTCAACTGCTCGCTCTCTTCTGGCATCGTCCCTGCTGACCTTAAACATGCCACTGTAGTACCTATACTAAAAAAACCATCCCTTGACCCATCCACCCCCTCTAACTACCGTCCCATATCCCTGCTCCCTTTTTCCTCAAAGCTTCTGGAAAGACTCGTCTTTACCCGTGTGTCTCATTTCCTCAATTCCAACTCTCTCCTTGACCCCCTTCAATCTGGCTTCCGCCCTCTCCACTCTACAGAGACTGCCCTTATCAAAGTTACTAACGACCTAATCGCAGCTAAATCCAAAGGCCACTACTCCATACTAATTCTTCTTGACCTCTCGGCGGCCTTTGACACCGTTGATCATGCTCTCCTTCTTCAAACTCTGCAATCGCTTGGTCTCTGTGACTCTGTCCTCTCGTGGTTTTCCTCTTATCTCTCCCAACGCTCATTCAGTGTCTCTTTTTCTAATGATACCTCCTCCCCTCGCCCTGTCTCGGTTGGAGTCCCCCAAGGCTCCGTCCTTGGTCCCCTTCTATTTTCTCTTTACACTGCCTCTCTTGGCAAACTTATTACCTCATTTGGTTTCCACTACCACCTGTACGCTGATGACACCCAGCTATATCTCTCCTCCCCGGACCTCTCCCCTGCTGTCCTGCAACGTGTCACTGCTTGCCTTTCTTCCATCTCTGACTGGATGTCCTCCCGCTTTCTGAAACTCAATCTCTCAAAAACTGAGCTCCTTGTCTTTCCTCCTCCTAATACTGATCCTCCTCTTTCGCTCTCCCTTCAAGTTTGTGGTACCAACATCAGCCCATCCTTGCAAGCGCGCTGTCTTGGCGTCATACTTGACTCTAGTCTCACCTTTGAGCCTCACATCCAGCATGTTGCCAAATCCTGTAGATTCCATCTTAAAAACATAGCCCGCATCCGCCCCTTTCTTGCACCAGATACTACCAAGGAGCTTGTCCATGCTCTAATAATTTCACGCATGGATTATTGTAACCCTCTCCTGCTTGGTCTTCCCAAAAGCCGTACTGCACCCCTACAGTCTGTAATGAATGCTGCTGCTAGACTGATTTTCCTCTCTAGTCGGTTCTCTCACACCTCACCCCTCTGCCAGTCCTTACATTGGCTTCCTGTGTGCTATAGGAGTCAATTCAAGGCACTAACTCACACCTATAAAGCACTGAACAACTCTAGCCCCTCTTATATCTCCTCACTGATCCACAGGTATGTCCCTTCTCGGTCTCTCCGCTCTGCCCGTGACCACCTCCTGTCCGTTGTCCGCACCCGTACGGCCAACTCGCGCTTGCAGGACTTCTCGCGGGCGGCTCCCTTCCTATGGAATAGCCTGCCTACCGCCATCCGACTCTCCCCTAGTCTTGCATCTTTTAAGAAGTGCCTTAAAACCCATCTCTTTAGGAAAGCTTATGGCCTCCAAGACTAACCCCTACCTCACATACCCGTCTCTTGCCCTCTCCTAAAGGGCAGCCCACCTTATTTGATTGCACATTCCTGTCCTAATGTGTTTTACACCCCACCTCCTATAGAATGTAAGCTCGATTGAGCAGGGTCCTCTTCAACCTATTGTTCCTGTAAGTTTATTTGTAATTGTCCTATTTATAGTTAAATCCCCTTTCATAATATTGTAAAGTGCTACGGAATCTGTTGGCGCTATATAAATGGCAATAATAATAATAATAATAATTGTTAATAGTAAAGCAATTTGTGATAGGAAGAGTTAATTACTTTGAAACACGTTACCTTATGGTTCCCGTGTCTAACAGCAAGATGATTTCTGTTCGGTGTTCTAATTTTCCCCTTAAAATCAAATAAAGTGCTGATCTTCCACTTTTGGGAGCAATCTTCCTACATTTACCTACAGGATAATTATCCTGAATAGGATTTATGAGGTATACATTTTCCTTTCATATGGTACAAACTCCGAATAGGTTTACGGTCAGGGTGGAGAGCAGTATAGGTAATTTAGGATAGGAGGAGGTTTTGTTATTTTTCACAGCTATGCCCTCTCTCTTTCTAATCCTCTTTAGATCACAATTTATGTGTTTTTTTGTTTTTTTTATTGCAGAGGAAACGTCTCTTGCTAGACGCAAAACATGTTCTGTGCACTGATTTTTTTTATTGTTTGTTTAGTAGTTCTCACCGCCTTCCCCCTTTCTGTATCTGGATTTGACTCCCCTTACACATTTCTTTCTTTTTGAGCATTTATGCCTTGTGTACAATTTTGTTCTACAATAAACAAGCAATTGCAAGAAAACGCTGCTGCTGATTTCCTTGGAATCCTTCCAGAATGCGCTAAAACACTTTTTTTTCTTTAATTGGACTGACTTTGGAACAAAGTTTACGAGCATAAAAACATTAGTATACATAAGCTATTGAACAGGAGTATGTTCTTCATTATAATATTTGTTCTCTCTTTAAGTGCATACATATCATTGGGGAAACCGTACTTCATTTGTTTCATTACACTGAAAATACCCTTCAGTCTAAAATTAAACTGCTAAATCGTTCAAGCTAACATAAAGAATGTACTTCATTTGGATGATTTTGTTTCCCCCACAGAATATAATAGATTGCATGGATTGCAACAGGTTTGTCAATGTGATCTGCATTAATTAAATAATTGTATGTAAATATTCAATCTATTCATTTGTGCAAAAAGAAAAAAAAATTAAATGTCAGCATTTTGTATATAAAAATATTGTAATTAAATAATAAAAAAAAATTACATTAAAAAGCCTTGCCTTAAAGCAAAGTCTAGAGATGTTTTTTATGAAAAGGTGCTTTAAAAAAAAAAAAATCAATCAGCAGGGATCCCATGTTGTATAATCCTTTAAAAAGTATAGAAATATGTAAGGCTCTGTTAAAGTGAATATAACAAAAAACCATTTAAGTGTACACAGAAACACCCATCAATACAATCATAATCTGCATTAATTATGCGTTAATCAATCAGATAAGCTAAAATAAACAAAACTCCAGCTTATCTACAGCTTGTGACACATGATCTTTATAGGACGTCAAAAAAAGAAATATAGTGTTATTAATGCATACCTATTGATTTTCTCATTCAAGACCTGCTTATGCTTTTCCTTTGCAATATGGTCATTCTCAGAAATGAAGTCCATCCGATTGTCCAGAAGAAGGTTCTGAAAGAGACAGACAGTTGAGGTGTGACACTGTATCATTGACCACCACTTTACAATGTAGCCATCAGTTACCTACTTTCACTCCAATTGTGTCTCCATCCTTCAAGTGATAGGGCGCCCCCTGCAGGTTCTCAGGCTTCTTTTTTTTCCTCTTCTTTGAGACTTGTTGGGTCTGAAAGAAAATATTGGTGATATGTCTAAAAACAAGGTATTGCCGAATAAAACAGAGTAAACCGGTTGAAAGAAAATCGGGATCATCAGAGATTATAAGTATGCAATATTAACAGAGTTATTCACTAAAGTAAGAATTGTTGGGAATTCAAAGTACTTTTTTTTTTTTTTTTTTTTTAAAGGGAATTGAAATCCAAAATAACCAGACTGGAAGTTAGCTATGCTTCCAGTTCAGCTACTTTGGTCTTAAATTCACTATGAATGCCTAACAATTCTAACTTCAGTGAATAACTTTGAAAATGTAAGAAACTATGTTAGTAGAGACAGCTTTCGGTGCACTATAGAGTCCTGCATCAAGTAGTTCACAGAAAATTCAAATAAAAAATACACACTGAAAAGTGTCATAACAACACAAAAATATACCGTATTAATTGATCTATACTTACAATCATTTTTCTAAAAATATTTTTGGAGATTGTGACTAAGTGTAGGAAAAATAACATTTATTTTAAACAGGCTAAATTGCCAAATCTATGCAATAAGAATTGTATGGCCTAGTTACAGGACACTGGACTTCTGTATGGTATTATTTATTTTGGCATTTCTGCATCTTATAGAGCTAAATTATCAATTTAGTAATACTCTTTAATTGTGAAATTCCAATAAACTTTAATTGAAGAAAAAAAAAAAAAAGAAAAGAAGAATGCTCAGCTTTGATACCCAGGAACCATCTCTAAAACAAGGTCTCACCCAGCTTGATATTGGGAGCCATTCATGTTTTTCTGTAAGATACTTTGCTATCTCCACCTTGTCTACTGGCAATGAACAATGGTTGGCAATCCTTTGACGTAGGGCATGGGCAGTGCAGCCATGAGAGATATCCCACGCAATATCCACAGGGGGAAAGTAACGCAGCTCCCCTGGGACAGATAGCTGGACTCTCAGAAGTAGATCGTGGGTGCTTCAATGCGAGACAGAAGAAAAAAACAATTCAATGCAGACAGCTATGTGGATTTTTCAAGCACATTAAAATACTCTCATAAGAATTTTACTGTAACACTTACCCCAAAAACTCCTCGTCTTGCAGTGTTTCCACACACAGTATGGTCCTGTTCCCAAGGTTATAGTCACTAAACAGAGAGATAAAGATCACATAGTGGGGTCATAAACACCAAGAAAATAATGTAGCAGAATATAATAATGCCCCTTATTTAAGACTCTCTTTGAATGTATGTACATATATAGTATCTTTCTGGAAGTACATGCAGTTATGTTGATATATTCAAATGATTTAAAAAGACATCTTTGACACACTGTCTACATTCTGATGATATTTATTTCCATCATATAGAACAATGAGATGGCAATTCTATCACAGTATTTGTAAGATGTAAGACGGATATTGCGTACCTGATCCGCAGATTAGGTGAGCGCAGGATTTTTACTAAGTGTTTGTTCTCCAATGTCCAAATACGAAGAAACTCAGGCGAAGGTATCCCGAATGCCTCAAAGATTGGCAATGTCATAATCTATTAATCAAAGACGTCACATTGAATAAACAACCTTCAGAGAACAGTAAGGATAACCATTAATAAACAGAGTGAAGAAATCGAAGTCCCTTGAAAATTTTGTCCTACTAAGCTTTGTATTCAGAGACAGCCTTTACACTGTACTTTTTTTTTTTTAATTAATATTGTTAAACAGTGTGATAGTTTTGGAGACATTGGCATTACTAGTTACAGACAAATTCACCCTTTATATTTCTGTTATGAGTCTTTACAGCAAAATCAGCTGACTTCTATTTCTGCTACTAAAAGCATACAACTTCCATATATACGGTGGGATACGTTTAATGGGAGGTCAAGAAATAAAGATCAAAACAAAAGGTGCAAACTTGGGAGGCTGACAGGTCTACGTGTAGACCAATGGCATACGGTTTATGATAACCTTCCTTCACTGTACAAAAAGTCCTGAAATAAGGAAAGTCTGTGGACTAAGTATAAGAGTGTGAGATAGTTATACCAACCTGCATTTTTAGATCCTGAAGAAAATTTTCTCCAGATATTTCTATGTTACCCACAAAGCAAAAGTCAGATTTGGCAATGTCTTCCAACTGAGAATCTGAAAAGGATCATAAGAGGTGGAAAAAAGCATTAATAAGGGTGAAAATCCATGCAGAAACACAGAAATAAATATGGAGAAAAAGAAACGACAGTGCTGCAGAGTATGGATTAAGATTAGTGAAAAGAAATAGAGTTCAGTATTGATGGCACCTAGCATAAAAACACGGGCTAGATAACATTTGCATTCTTTCAAAGTCTATTTCTTATCAAAGTATGAAGGCTCCATTCGTGATTTTTTTGTGTCTTCATTCGTGTCTAGGCCAAGGATTTTTCTTTTTCTCTATCACTGCAACAGTTTCTATGTCTGCTAGAAGGCTACCAATACGTATCCATAAAGCTCTCTATAAAGTATTTACCTCCAGAGGGGGAAGCTTGCAGAGCTGCCAAGTGAGAGGTAACATGATTTATTGGATCCTGCTGTGCATGTGGATGATAAAGCCAGACTTGCAGCTTCATGAAACCCTTAAACAAGAGATGTTCATCATTAATAATTTCTCAATATCATGTAATTATTAAATGCCAAAACTTAAAAAACAAAACAAAAAAAACTTGTTTAAATTGACAGAGAAACAAATACACCCGCTTCACTACTGAGCACATTTTGATTAAATAAAACAGAAGCATATCATTTATTTGAAGCAAGAGAAGCATAACTAGCAAACGTGTGTACTTTTACACTTTTTTGTTTACTAATTTGTTCAGCCTTTGTAAATTTTTTGGGGGAATGAAAAGCTTTATAACGTTTAACTATCTTATAATACTTCACACAGGGTCTGAAATTTTACGATAAAAGCAAAAATATAATTTCTCTCACATAGTCGGTGTGACAAAGCTTTGTAAACACAAATGTTCAAATAGCCTGCTTATAGATTGTAAGGACCCAGAAGGAATTACTCCCTATAGAATGTAAGCTCATTTGAGCAGGGTCTTCTTCAAGCTATCGTTCCTATGAGTTTTCTTGTAATTGTCCTATTTATAGTTACATTCTCCCCCTCATAATATTGTTAAGCGCTACGGAATCTGTTGGCGCTATATAAACAGCGATAATAATACTAGCGATACAACTTACTAAAAATGGCGACAGATGTAAAAATAATGTCTGCATTTCAGAATAATGCTCACATGCGCTAAATGCACCTAAATCAGACATTAAAAAAAAAAAGGTATTAAACTATTATAGCAATCTTTATCAATCTCTGGAATGGAATGCTAACAGTGAAATAATAAAGGACATTCACTCCTCCCCTCTCTGACTCTAGGAATGATAAGACCCAATGAAACTTCATTTACTGTTGGAAAGCAGGCAGAGAGCTATTTTCAGCACACACGCAGTTATTAAAATTAGTGACCAGTGGCTTCTGGCAGAGAAATCTGTTCCTCTACGGGTTGGTAATCATTCCTTGAATATAAATGAAGGTAGAATGTTTATACTCAATTTTTCAATTGAAGTTGTTAAGAAATGGATAATTCTGAATCTAAACTAAAATGTCATTGGTCTCATTCTGTGTAAACTGAATTTTCAGAGTTTTGGGTCTTTAGCATATATGCGATATAGCAAAAAAATATATATATCTCAGGTAAGAAGGAAGATACTCAGTGGAATGAGCTGGTGTGGATTAGGCTTTAAAAGGAAAGTGATAAATGTAAAGGCTATAACACAGCAATGGATTACTTTTAGACAACAGATGTGATACAGTGTGTCAAGGACGTGATTCTGTGTAACTGACGTGTATTCAGTGTATAAAGTACTTTTCTCACCTTGGGTGGAAGTCTTCCTTCGGTGATTACAAGTGTGTCTCCTGTGCAGATGTTTAGCTCTTTCAGTGTGGACTCCTGAGGGAAACAAACAGCAACAAGAGAGAAGAGGGAATATTATTACACATATTAAGGATTTTGAAATGTTTTAGGGTTGATCAATTGTCTAAAAGAGTAAACTTTATACAAAACATAATGTATGTGTTATATGCTCTGTATTATCTTTCAAAGTGACTTCAGTAGTGATAAATGATAGACGAGAGAGTCAGCAAGAATGAATGAGTTAATTTTTATTTAACTGTAAATTACTTTGGTTGGAATCTCAGTCACACCACCCTTATCAGTAAGTGTCCTTAGGCAAGACAATATATATCCACGTAGCACAAATCCTCATAGAGTGTAAGATCCCTGTTCTATAACTGTAAAGCACTGAGTAATATGTTGGTGCTATAGAAATGCTAATAATGATGGCACACTGAAAGTAATCACAGAAATCCAAAGTAGGTATAGCACTCACCAGTCAGGAAAATGGAAAAACACTATGGTGCCACTCAGATATGGGAAAATAGAAATCCCTAAATATTATCCAGAATAATAAGTAAAAATCTGACACACAAAGGGTCTTCCAAAGATTCAAACTTTATTTAGGAATAGGCATAGTTTCAGCTCACAAAAGCCATTCTAAAGCCACGTGAAAAAGACTCGTGAGCCAAAATATTGCCTGTTCCACTCTAAATAAACTCTGCATCTTCAATAGATCCACTTTGTGCCCGAATATTTCTTATTTTTAACACATTGAAAGTAATAGTTATTGCTGTAAGAGGGTCACATTTAAATACATTTCAAAATGGATACCTTATGCATGGTTTTAGAATCCAAAACTATATTAACTTTGCATCAGTTTGAGGAATGTTTTTGTGAATTTCCCTGCAGAAAGCAGTTATTCCTAATGTGAAGTAAAATGATGTGAAGTTGACTGTAACGCTTTTCAAAGCAGGGAAATGTAAACTATTAAATAAAGCTTTGGAATTGACACAACTGAAAACCATGTCAATGAGCCTGGTGTATAAAAATATCAACAATTAAAGAGATGCGTGCCTGAAAGCACAAGGAACAGATCAGAAAATTTAAATAATAAAGAATTTCATGCTCAGATAAAGTAGATGGGGCTGTATGTTATTGTAAAAAACATTATGGAGAGCCATGAATATCTGACTGTATCATGCAGATCAGTGAAAAGTGGTGATACATGTAAAATATGTCAGTGGTGAAAGGGAACAAATGTGTGGGACAACAGCAGGAGAAAGCAACACGATAACTTGTACGGAAGGGACGTTTACTTCATCAGTGAGAGGATCTCCAGCTTCGTAACACCAATCCATCTTTCTCAGGTGCCAACCAGTCTCAGCTACAAGAGATGAAACGATTAACAGTAACAGCATCCCTATGATTGAAACTGGTTTAATTGCATATATAACAGCAAAGTTTACACACTTGCTAATTTTCAATCTGCATTCTAAACGATTGCAAAACAAAATGAAAGCCCGGAGTTTAAATTTGACCCTGAGAATCTCTGCAGGGGGACTACATATGGAAGCACTCCTAGCTCCTCAAATTACCACATTACTGCTACATTTGTAGGTTAAACTTCATGATGATGGCATTTTAGCAGGTGAAAGGCTCCAAACAGACCAAGTACACAATAAGCTTTATTGCAAACTGCAATGCCTTCTCATAGTACAACCCGCCGTAACTTACCTGGAATCCTGCCCCAAGGCAGCCTCTTCTCTGCAGTTCAGACCGCCTCTCCTGAGGTCATTGGGCATGGTGATTAAGCTTGTCCAATTAAATGCTTCTCATTGAAGCATCGTGGATTTAAAGCACATGTGCAGTGAATGCTTCTCATAAAGAAGCACTGAATCCAATGCTACTCTCTGAGGAGCATCATAGTACATTGGAATTGGTTCTGAAAGCAGAGGCACCACCTATGGCCTGATAGGGTGACAGCAACTGGAAGTGTGTTTATCCCCGCACAATGAAAACATTGCCAAATTTCTGAAATGGCAGGGTCACTTTAACGTTGTAAGGTCGGCAGTGTGTGTTTCAATGTTCTGTTCCCCTAGTGTGCAAATGGGAGGGGAGTTAGTTTTAACCCTTTCACCACTGAACACAGTGTTACTGGTGTGATCAATCTGATCAGTACAATGGTACCTTTCAGGTTTTTTTTCTAGATTTCTGTCTTTTTTTTTTAGTTAAAATATTACCCTTTTTGTGACTTTTCCCCACTGTTATTTATTTTTTAACCTTTCCTGCTGTTTTTGATCACCAAGCGTTCGCTCTGATCAACCTGCCCTTTTTATTATTTTTTTGGCTAGTTTATTTTAAAAAAAAAATAACCTTAAATTATGGCACGTTACTATTAAAATTAAATCAAGGCACACTATTCTAATGTGTGAATCAGTGAGTGAGACATTTGAGATAACGGATAGTGACACTCTTTCAGCCTTTAGTATAAAGCCCCTAAGTGAGGCATCTACAAGGAGCACTCAGAACACCCCACTGTAGTTGATAAGTAGGTCTAGGATGCTAGCCTAGAAAACCACTCTGTTATATTTTCCGTGAAGGAGTACTGAAATGTGCAAGGCCCATGCTGAACAGAAGTATTGTGTTTTTTTGCAATTCTTTATTTGTGATGTGCATAGCGTAACAAACATGCAGGTATATCACTATAGGATTTAACTCAGCTTTATATAACAAGTATTACACATTTGGTGTGACTGTGGTTGTGCACATATTTCTATTTTATCAGTGTATCCCAAGTTGGCGTTTGTCTATCGTGGTGTGCAAGTACACATGTGTATGTTTTCTTTAATTTAGGTGCCAAAGATACGTGTTCCGAGGTAGGTATAGGCTCTCATCTGGCTTACAAATGTGTACGTTTTGTTGCTGTAATACTGAATATGGTTAGTTTAAAAAAAAAAAAAATGGATTGGTGGGATAATAATAGGTTAAAGGCAAGCATCTTCTTGTGAGTGGATACTGCTTGTGTGTTTCCCTTCTTGAGGAGTGGTGTCCAAGTATGTGCGTGGCTGACCACTCAGGAGAGATGGTGCCCCTAACCATGGAGGTATCGGGGGAGGGGAGTACATGCTGTCTATGTGGATTTTTATGGAACCGGACCAGGGCCATAAAGGGTGCTATTTTGCTTGTGCAATATCGGGGTCAGCCAGGAGCTCCCTAATCCTAGGCGTCCCAAACAAAAGGTGGTAGTGTTGGGTGTAGCTAGTAAGCAGTAATGTTCAGAACTAAAACAATAACCGTAAAACTTTTGCGGCCTGGAGCCACGAGTTCTGGAAGTTCTTTATTTGGCGTAGTGTCGTCTGTGCCAGTCAGGTGACAAGTAGGCTGCAGCTGCAGGTCTCAGCACGAATGGGACTGCGTTGGCTGGGTCCCACTCGCTTGGATCCGCGGTGGCCCCGTGCCTGCGTTTCGGCTTTGGATGCTTCGGAGAGTATAAGAAGGGGATTGGTCTGTATCTGCTGTGTGCGGGGTTGGATGGTGGCGAGATGCCGAGATATATGGCAGATTTTGTTTAAGGGTAAGCTGCTACTAACAAATACTGGACATACATATACAGAGAAACACAATGAACAAATGCAATGCCATAATGGGGTAGTGTTTCTGGTTGGGTATGCCATACTGCCTTAAAGGGAGACATAGACCCAGAAAATCAAATTGTTCAGTTTCCATGTATGAATACAGGGACCCATAATTGGCCATGTGACTTCCAAAAACCCAAGCAAACTGTACATGGGTGGTATTGTTGTACTATTGGGACATTGCATAATATGTTTTGCAAAAAAATGTTTTGTTAAATTTGGAAGAAAGGAAATTGTTTACATATAAATATTTGATATGAAAAGAAAGCCATATTTGTCCTTAACATAATAATATATAATCAGTGTGGGTGCACTTAATGTGAAAGAGGTAAATGATGGCTGAATAACAAATATATAGCTACAATTCTAGGTTTTGTTTTGATTCAGGACTTGGACAATTGCTTCAATTCTTAAGGGATTAAATAACAATTTTAACCAAATATAAATAAATAAAACCGAAAACAATTGGTCCAGAATGGTGGACCTTTGATAAGAACTAAATTCTGGAAAATAAAAAACGATCTGTGTAGTTGTGCATTTTACAAACCAAAGTTACTGGGCTACTGTAGAACATTCTAATGGTTGAACGATGAAACAATTTTTTAATGGATAAGACTCCATTTCCTGAATGGGGCTTACCTGATAAACCAGCCTGTTGTAAAATCAGGTCTAGGCTCTGGGGAAAGAAGAAAACTAAAATATGAAATAGGAAAGGATAAAGAGGATATTAGGGTAAAAGAACAAAGTGCAGAGCAACGATGAGAGAAAGAAAAACGGAGAGGGGAAAAAGGTAGATTAGATGCATAACTCAACAGATCTATTTTGCTGCATATACCTCCTTAACCGTTAGTGTTTCTTCCAGGATAATTTCCTGCTCTTGTCCATCCTTCAGATCATTTCCAACGATAAAATATAGGAAGAGCTGGAAATACAAAAAAAAAACCAAAAAAACGATATCTTACTATTTGAAAGTTTATGATCAGAATCTTTCCACCCATTCTATGACAATCACACTCCATTTTCTTTTAGTCGGAACCTGTTCTCTTAAGTAATTTTACCAAAGGCATGCTCAACAACAGTCTGAAAACAGACATTGCAGGCACACCACTGGTGATCCAATAATGAATGAGTCTGCTGTCAGCAGATGGACATTTATCATACACACAAGCCTTGTGACAAACTTAGAAGGCACAAAAGCCACTTCTCCACTGCTGGAGCTCCACCAACAGTTAATGGCTAGGATAATGAAGTTTATTGCGAGGCCACAGAACCAAATGACAATGTTTAGACCATAGCCATGTACATAACTAAAGTCTAAATGTCGTGTTTTGGAGCCATTTGCCCCCCAATAAACTTTATTATCTTTACAGTTCCTGCTGTAGTAGCACTTCACAAAAAAAAAAAAGAAAAGAAAAGAAAAAAAAAAAAGAAAGGATATAATAAAACAAAATAGGTCCAATCAAAATATGTTGTAGTCAATTACCTGGATTACCAAGTCAAGACAATAAGATGGTTTGTTTTGTAAATATCTCAACTCAACCCCCGACCTTCCCCTAAATTTGGATGGGCCTAAAACCAAAATGCCTAAAGACAATACGACTATCCATACCCTGTTTTTGTCCTGTGCAAAATGGCAACATACTGCTAATATGTACAGATCTGGACTCACCTCATTAAGCCGTGGAGATTTCCCTCTGCACAGCCCTAAAATGCTACCAGGTTTAATCTCTGCCTCCTGAACTGTAACATTCTCTGGCACTGCAAAGGTAGAAAACATGAAGCAAAAAGGAGACACTTAAGATATATTGTTCTGTAGTAAAGCAGATAAATGTAATCCTGTACATTTTATGTTGGCTATTTCTGAGAACATTTACATTTTCACATTTAATATTGCAATGAAACTCCAATCTGGTTCATAAAAGGTGGCACGGATTGGAGATAAAGCATTAAGATTCTATGGTTGCTTTCTACACTGCATCTCCTAACAATATCATTTTTCAGCACCATCGAACATGTTTGCTATAGCATCATGAGAGATGTGGTTTCACAAAGGTGTGCAAGCTACATCTAAATAGTAAGCTAAACCTTAAAGATGATTTCCAGAATCCCCCTTCTAAATGTCTCACCTGGTGGAAGCAATTTTCCATTCTTATGCAATGGTCTCAAACAGATATCATCCACTATGACAAATGAAAAATATATATATAAATTAATATAAAACAAGAATATGCTAGCAGAGATATACAGCTAATTTTACATGTTTGTAATTAAATGACTAGTACTTGAAAATAGTCAATACCAACCATATAGATATTAACAATGATAATTCAATTTAAGATAACGTATCAGAGGAGGGACTCAGTCAGTAAAGACAAGGCTTTTTATAACTTCCTGCAGTACTGATCCACCTGGACCACCATAATATTAATGGTACTTTATGTATATTTCAAAATAAAATAAATGAATGACTCCTTATTCTCACAGGTTATAAGAAACTCTGTTTGCACTATTAATGTTGACAGCCCTATAATCACTTATGATGTAGATTTGGTACTAGCATTCTCACACAATATAAGATACATATAAGTACAATTTGACACTCAAAACTGCTACTCTTAATCTACACATAATTCTAAAGAATTGTTTGGGGACATATAGAAGGAGAGGGAAGGTCTATCTCTAGGAGAGAGGAAGCAGTGAGAATTTAGAAAGCCTGGCATTCTTACCACACTTCTCCTGTAACTGCAACATTTCAGCAGCCTTACTGCGGATTTTGGAAACAGTCTGAAGATGTAAAACACAGAGTTAGAAAAATAACACCGTCCCAGGTTGTGTCAATTAACTATAGCTGCTAATCCTTCAGGACCTAAAACAGAACTGACCCTGCAGCAACTTATGAAGATCAACGTAACACTTGTGGGCATGCAGAGAACCTACATGCAGGGAACAACAGCGCAAGTTTAAGATATATGAGGTTTAGGAGTACCTTCATTTCACATAATCCAACAAAATAGTCAAACATTATTATTTATAGGATTTGTATTTAAGGGAGTTTTGCATAAAGTAATATTAATAGGCAACATATTTTAGTGTGATAATCAGCAGGAGCATTTCCTCAGTTTCCACGGTGATTGCTCCACTTTTAGAACTTTTCCCTAGAAAGGTTTTTATACAAAACCCGCTGTAGATCACATAAAACTACACTTCCAGTCATTGTCACCCCTTCCTTTCTCCATTCAATCATTCTTCCCTCCCTTTCATTTGGACAGATATCATATATTAGCCTGCACAGTGATATAAGAAAACGATTTTTGATCACAGTGTATTTAACTCACAGTAGTAGGAGACACAGAAATGCTCACGGTCTTCTTGTTATCTTCTGAATGGTACAAATCCTGCACTTGGAGAAAGTCTGTATTTAAAGAGTTTTCTGTAGCAAATATCAGCTCACTGAAAGACAATAATGTTGTGGGAAAAGTTTAAAAAGTACAGTATCCATATAATAAGTCAACTAATTAAAAATAATATTCTTGGGGGGGGCGGAGCCAACTGAAGCAGACGCACATCAACTGAGTTCCGCCAACACAAGCCTGAAAAATGCAAATGTATTGCCCAAAACTCACCAATTTCGACTCATAACGCGACACCATGAGATGGGAAAGAAATCTAAGCACCAAGGAGCCGTGAAGCCAGCAGGGGCCCGTGACATCGGAGAACTTCTCCTCCGCCCCGTGAAAACACACAACCTCGGCCTCCTCAGGAGAACAAGCACTGGACGAGCAGGATGAGTTCCCCAGCACAGGGGGCTTACACAATGCGTCCTCAGATGAGGACAACAAACTACCCTCTACGAAGGGAGACATCAAAGCCCTCCTCTGTAATATACTGAGAGAAGAGATACATACTGTAGAAGGCCGGGTCAAAAAAACAGAGGAAGCATCACAAGGCCTCACCGCTAGATGCACGCAATTAGAGGCCCAAAATGCAGAGCTACAATGCAGCCAGGCCCTACTCGCCGCCCGCATGGACGCGGTGGAGGACCGAAACAGAAGCAAGAATATAAAGATCCGAGGGGTCCCTGAGTCAATATCCCAAGACAACCTGTCACAATTCATCGGGAGGCTCCTCACCTCCTTACTCACGCCGCAACAGGCGAATACAATCGGAATAGATGGAATGTACCGCATCACGAGAGCGACCAAAACCCCAGCGGACACCCCGGGGGATGTTATCCTGCAACTACAGACGAGATCGGCCCAGATGACCCTCATGGCAGCGGTAAGGGGGAGGGATACTTACCCCTTCGAGAAAGCCACTTGGTCATTTTTCCAAGATCTGTCCAGACCCACTCTGATATGGAGAGGCTTCCTCAAACCCCTGAACACCGCACTCCGCCAGCACGCAATACAATACCGCTGGGCATTCCCCAGAAGCCTGATTATTACACAAGGTGGCGCAATAACACGGGTAACTGACCCCTCTGAAATGGACACAGTATTGACGGCGCTGGACCTGTCACCGCAACAGGAGCTTGCCACCCCAGGTCAGGGACCACAGACCCCACACACACAGGACATAGCGAACATCAGACCATTTCACCCAGTAGGCTCCACCACCCCGTCCTCCACGGCCTACAAGGCACAACCGGCAAACCGGCAACCTACAGGCACTTGAGACCCTGAAAGGGCAACAGGCACCCAGGCTGAAAGGACTCCCAGAGATGATTGCCGTTAAGTTACCACTTCTTTACCAACTTTTAGTTAATTGCTTTTTCGTTGGTTTGGCACCCAGACAGGTCTATGGTCCCCTGGCCGCGACCTCACCACGGAATCGGAGAGGGACAGGGACTAATAGCGGACGCGCATAGGCAACACACAATTGTAAACCAAGACTGGAGGGAAACCCAGTATAACCCCTGGACTTAAGCTGCGATGCTGAACCCCCCACTTGTTCCCCGGATGTGGGAACTAGCTGACAGTAAACGGAACGCTGACCAGCAAAGACCCCACTAAGCAGAAGACTCCACAAGGCCTGATTATAATACCTGTTTCCATGTGATATTGTTATTATTTTCCTTTATGACCACTATCTTTTCACGTATAACATTTGCACTTGCACCTAGTGGAACCAAAGCTTGACAAAGGCCATATAATGCCAGAACCCAGTCACCCTCATCGAATAGACAACTCACCTCCCCCACAAGAGCAGAGCTTCTGACCTAACATGCCAGCTAGACACTCGAGACCATGAGCCTCATACCGGCCCTTTGCTAAACCTGAACCGGCTATGCTGCATGTTTCTGCTGCTAAACAGGACCGCCCAACATCCCTATTTATGCTCACTTACAGGCATCTCAGACTCTCTTTTTAAATGTTACCTTAAGCCTCTGTGCTCCAAACATGGTCCTAGCATAACCAGCCCCAAAAGCCAAGCCAGCACCTCACAAAAGCATTGTTCCCCCTCCTGCCCAGGTATCAAAAGACGCTAACGTCAGTGCCAAGAGGTCAGGACAGACAAGCTACTATATACATATACCTACTCAGTTTATATACAGTTACTATGTTCAAATCTTACACTACTTTATAAAAAAAAAAAAAAAAGTTTAGCACTTCTTATGTAATTGTTTGTTCTTGATAATGCTCGCCACTGCTATTGTGGCATGGCAGGCATGAATGTCATCTATTGCACGATTAAATTAAAGAATTAAAAAAATAAAAATAAAATAATAGTATTCTTGTAAGTATATTGTAAATCAAAAAAAAAAAATTATTGCTAACAAAAAACAGTAATACTTACTTCTCTTTATCAGAATTCAAAAAGAGTATGGAACTCCCATCTTTAAGTCCCAGCACTTTGAGGGTTTTGTTCATATCTTCGGAGGCACAAATACTCCACCCACCACCGTGTTCTGTAGATGGGAAGCACAGCAATGGCTCTTGATTGGTGGTACCAGTCAATTTCTCCTGTACATCACTAAGCCGGGAATTAGATGAAAAGACACACTGGTTTTCAGATGTGTCATGTTGGGTCTTGCGCAGGATAGTGAGTAAAAGGGGTGCATAGTCCTCCCCAGCCTGCACAAACACACCTCCAACCTACAAATAGAATATATGGGGTCACAAATGACAGGTGACCTGCACAGAAGTAAACAAAAATTTGACCACAAATACCTGATCTAAATTACTTTTTCACTTGAAATATGTTTATATAATGACGACGAGCCAGCCCAGAACTAGAGTGACCGATGACACCCCTATGAAGTTGCAAGGGGTTTATCTTGCTATGTGCAGCGTTTTTTATAGTGGAACGCTGCACAGACAGAAGCCAGCCACCATGACCACTTCAAATCACTGAAGTGGTCATGGTGCTTGAAGTAACCCTTTAAACACAATATTCAGCTTTCTGCAGTATGTGTTATTTGTACATCTCCTCTTTATGAACTATAACATTTATGTGTCATTAAGCTTTAACTAGACTTTCAATATTTTACTTTTAAGGGTTCAGTATTGAATTCCAAATTAAATTTTCCCACCTACCTGTTCTCCATCCCATACAAAGATGTCTGTTCCATCTTTGACTCCTGCTTTCATCAGGTCCATTTCATCATCTGAGTGGAGATTAAATCAATATAAATGATGTAACATGAACAAGAAAAAGATGATCAGGTTAAACTGTGCACGAAAAGAAGGGAACCTGGGGAAGCTCGAGTAAAAGAGGTTAAAAGTGAATTTCTAGAGAAGTAAAGTAATTCAGTGCTTTATTTTCTTATACATACATCCAAATAACTAAACTAGATGGAACAAAAGTGCACACTATTTTAGTGTATTTAACTAACTTATATTAAGCTGCAGTGTAGCTATACAGAATTACTCACCATTTAAATTCTGGAAAACATGCAGACCAGCAGGTAGCGCCTTTGCGATACTCAAAACTTGACCTTCTAACGCGTTATCAAGCAGCTGTGCCAACGACAACATCATATTTCATCAGTGATTGAATCAAAGAAAGTAAAAGTGCTGTAACAGGGTTATTCACTCAAGTAAGAATTCAAAATTAATTTCAAATTTAAGGTCAAATTAACCAAATTTAAACAATTCTCTACGCCAGCTAGGCTTCCAGTTTGACTATTTTGGCCTTAAATTTGAAATTCACTTTGGATTTTCACTTTTGTGAATAACCCTGAAAGTGGACAAAGTACAAGCAAGCAGAGTACAGGCAAGTAAGCAATGTATTTGACGTCTCACATACACAACAAGTTAAAGTAATTTCAGTAATAAAACCAAACATCATATGCCAAAGGCTTAGAGAAGAAAATGACTTTAACCAATAGGATGTTATTCACATGGGCATATAGAGTACACAACATCATGAAAAGAGCATTAACCTCAGCCGCAGACCTATCCTCTGTAAACACTTCAGAAAAGGAATTGGGGCAAGGGAAAGGGAAAATGTCACAAACAAAGCGTAACAAAAAGAAATGTAATTGATTCAGGGTTCTAAATAGAGTTTACGTGTGAAATGCAATAATGGTGAGAAAATTACCTCAAAAACTATTTTTTTCAAGTCTCCAACTGTTCTCCGCTGGTCCACGGTAATTTCCAAGATGCTATCACTGTGGGAAACAGCTGGATGCAGGGCACCATTATTAAACTGGTAACAAGATGAGAGATGCAGGTGTAATTCCATGCGATTGGTCTCTGTGTCGGATTCCAGCCTGTACAAGAGAAACATCAGTACACAAAATGCATGGAAACGCTTACTGTAATACATAGAGGGCAATTTAAAAAGATGCATGAAGATGGAATGCCATTATACAGGACACAGTGATTTTGTGGAAAACTTAAGAGGCCAGAGAAATGTTTGGACCAACCTCTTTTTCTGCAGCTCCTTGTTTGCCAGGTCCATCTCCTGCAAAAGGTAATCAGGCACTCCAAAATGAGCATTGCCAATCGCTACAAAGATAAGATAAATTATAGATTAAAGAATTTAAGAACTCTTCATGTACAAAAATAATTGAGCAGTAACTCACCGAGCAGAAATACCAAAACTGAAACGATGATAGTCAACTTTCACAAGTCACATATACCCACATATATAGTATAGATGAAAATTACTGTTGTGCATTACCTGCATATCTCAAGTTGGACTTTGTCAACTCCCCCTTGGGCACAGAAACTCGAGAAATCAGGCTTCTACAGCTATCCCAGAGTTCCCAGCTTGAAACGCAAGTGAGCCCAGACAGGCATTGTGTTTCAGAATTCATACTGCACTTCTGCAGATACCCTTAACAATCGATGCTGTATTAAACAAGGCTTCTTTTTTTTTTTTTAAACCATAGAATGGGTTGTGATCCAAAAGGACCAGTGACCAGAAACCAACCATGGACTGTGCAGTTTTGACCCTCTGGATCTTGTCAACATGGCAAAAACTGAGTGCCTGACTCAGTTTGGAGTTCGGGTCTGGAAGTTGAAGTCTCTCTGACTGTAAACAGCTAGGTGCCAAATAGTTTGTGGTAAGACCAAACACAGTCAAACTCAAAACAGTACTAATAGAAAATATGCTGTATCATCTATATCTTAAAAAAAATTAAAAATTCATTCTGGGATAGCACATGATTACAGGCAGAATCTTTCTATTGACAATGATATGTAGTGGAAGCAATATATTTTAACTTATACTTTTGCAAACAAATTAAAAAGGCCTGATGTATTGATTAAACCATCTAACTGAACATGAACCACACACAATGTGTGAATAACATACGATTTGAAATGGGTTAGTGAAAACCATACTTTATTTTATGAAGTTTGTGGTGTGACCTTAAAAAGATTATTCATGGACTAGTTATTGTGATCTCTTGCTTCCTAGACACCATAACAAATGTTGCATTTCTCCAACAAAAGACAATTTTCCAACTTGGACAACAAACAAAAGGGATTTCTTAGTTTTTACAGTTACCTTCCTGAGGTCTTTGCAGTTGGCTTTTGCGATAAAAGAGCATATAAGCACTTTCTTTTCCTTGAAACTGCTTCTCTATGTCTTTCTCCTGGATTGATTGTACGGTCGAGTCATTGAAATCAAACCAATGGCTCGCGTCTTTTTCTGGATTTTTCATTATATCAGGGGTACTCTGATTAGACAGATGTAGATCAGAGTCTTCAGTATCATTTCCACTTTGTGCCAAACCCACTAAGGAACCATCTGAACTAAGCTGGAAGATTTGGCGATGGTTCTGTAAGAACTGTAAAAATAGTGGATTTAGTTTAAATAAAAGAATAAGTATATAACTTAATTTGTTCACATATTACAATTAAAATACAGACCTGAAGAAATCAAGATTGCAACAATGATTTTACTAGAATTCCAAGAGTCGTATACTTCAGCCTCCAATTATTTTGTTTGCCTGTCTTGTAACCTCAACATTTCAGGTTTACAAATAACTAAGGGGAGGAAGAGTCCAGAATGTGGAGCACGTTCTCTACTAGAGAATCAAAAGCTCCTCTAGAAAAACAGCAATTGTTGTTGTTTTTTTTTTTTTTTGACAATCTCAGTTTTTTATTGAAAGTTTCTCAATGCTAATACAATATGCAGTCATAGTATAAAGGTGGCAATCAGTTACATAAGTAGGTCAATCCTACTACTTCCCTGTGGTTCCCAATTTGGGTTTGCAATAAGAGGTACAGGTCTACAGATATCATCGCATCATGTTCAAGGGCGCTGATTACGCTTGGTGTGTCACTTAGGCGTGTAACTGCCCTTGTACACGGAACCTACATGTATACTATACATGCTAAATTCCTAGTCCCGGGTATGGGATCGTGTGCCCTGTTCATGTTCGCCAGTTCCCGGCCCTGTGACCATTTCGCTATTGGGTCTAGCCCTTGGGGCGATGATGCCGAAGCCTGTGGTTAGGCAGTCTTAGAGTAAACCACGACTACCTGCACCCTCCGTGAGTTACAAACCCATGTTGCCTGGTAGTTGAGCATCTGTGAGGAACCACTTTGAGAGTCAGAGCAAATATTATTTGGGAGGAAAAGAAGAAAGTGTAAGGGGAAAAGGGAGGGGGGAAAAAAAAAGGGGGAGGAAATGAACGGGAATTGTCACTCCAGTCCTGCCTGCTCTGACCCCCTCCAGGGAGCCCCCACTGCCCCGCAGTCTCCTGTCGCCTTTACGGGCACAACACAATGTCTGTGGCAGGCTTTATGTGTTTTCCGTGCTCAAGTGGTAAATCCAGGTTCTCCAGATCTCCTCATGCTTCTCCAGTCTTCCTTTAGTTGTGGCAACCCCTTCCTCCAGTTGGCGGATCTCTTCTACTCTGCTGAGCAAGTCTTGGAATGTCAGAGTGTCCTTCCGTTTCCAGAAAGTGGGTATTAGAGAGCGTGCTGCAGTTAGCAAGTGCAGAGAGAGGAATTTCTTAAATTTGGACACCTAGAGAGCGGAGCGGTTAAGGAACATATCCGCCGGGTGCCAATTCACACCTTCGTCTGCCACCTTGAACAATAGTTTAAGTAGGTATATGGACACAAAAATTTAAGAGGTAAAAAAATAGACCAAAAATAAACCCTTAATAATAAAGGTAATTTTAGGGACTTCTATTCACAACGGTTTAAGTCCAGGATACCTTCTAGTAGTATCCACCTGACATCTTACTGCCTAGGCATTTTTTTGCTTTGGCACATATTCATTCGTTCAGGTTTTCATGTTTAGCCTGAAGTTAGAGCTGTGCTAACATAGCATTGCTTTTAAAATGTCAAGGGATATTGCTTACTTATTCTCTTTCAGATTTCCCCCAGCAGATTATGATGCTTTTTCCTTTGTGTTATCTTGCATTACACTTCAGTACCATTTGCCTTGCCCTTATCTGTCAAGAGAATGTTTTATATCCTTTTACACAATTCTACACTATGCTTTATTGTTACCTTGCGGATGCTTCCATGTTGCTTCCGATACATCTTACTCCAGGATGTTCCTGTGTGTTCCAACAGTTTCTGCCCCAGCTGATCCACTTGAATCATTTTATCTACTCCATCCTAGGCCAGAAGAAAGGATTAGAGCATTATAATGAAATTAGAGTTTGCATGGCACAGTATTTAAAACATTAAATCAACTTCAAAAAGAAAATACAAAATAAAAACAAACAAAAAAAATATGGATATGTTCTTTCTGTGACTCGTGTAAATAATCTTTGAATGAGCCTCCAATTGTAAAACACTAAGTCGAACCGCCACCTTTAAACGCTGCAGAGAAATAGTCTCTAAAGTACCAAATAAAGGAATTATTCCATCATGGGTCTTTAAGAAAAGGACATTCATGATAGAAGAATTCTGTCATTAGTTGTTAAGATACAGGGTGCATATGGAGAGGAAAACTGCAGAAAAAAACCCAAACATGACTGTGCTGCTTTAAGAATCTATTTGTTAAGGATGTCTCTTAGACAGAAGAATGTACAGGTTGGATCCATATTACTACTACAACGTAAATGCTATATTGTTGTTGTTTATTTACCGCTGCTATGATGGAAGCAAGTGTGACAGCAGGAGATTCATACTCATTATCAGCATCCTTAACCAAGTTTTTCACTTCTTCCTGTGAATGAACATATAGATTCAATAGAGGTTTAGAAGACAAAGGTGCACAAAATGTAAGCAAATTAAGAATGTGGGGAGCAACTAAGCCACAAATAACATCTGAAATTAACAAAATTACAAGAGTTTTAAGCTAGTGAATGTAATGGCACCAGCACTATAAAAGTGTCACTTTATTGCAAAACGCAGAACATTTTGTCAGTAATGAATGGAGGCACTTGGCCAATATATGCATCTTTTTGCTCATTTCCTAAGGCTCATCATCCATTGACAAGCTTACCTGACAGTCCCAGTGGCCCAGTTCATCCACATCTCTGATGTAAACATGATAATGGCCCCCATAGCAGCCGCCCTTGTGTATGATAACAGAAAATAGCTCATATGTGCACACAGGGTCTTCTATGTGATTCTACAAGGAAGAAAAAAATGGGTCAGTTATCAGCATAAACATGAATCAAGAATAATTTTAAACTAAACTACATTCTGTATTTGTTTTATGGACAAAGTAAGGGGTCATCCTATACACCATTTGATGTCAAAGCCTTTAAAGACCTGAGCGGACCATGAGAGGTTCAGTTTCATGTCAGCTTTTTTTACTTTTTTGGCAGACTACTCCATGAGGTTAAATTTTACTTCTTATTTATGAGGTACCCGTACATCATGGAACACTAGACAAGGCAGCCAAGGACTACCTTAAAAAGGTACCACCGTTTGTTGTGCCTCAGAACCATATGTGTCTTCTTCCTCTGAGCTGCTTAATTAATATAATTATTATCTATGCTAGTTCTTTTTATACAGCTTATTTTGTGCATTCACCAGTTATGGACGACAAGTGTTGTCTGCTTGTTCTTGAACAACTGTGAAATAGTGCTCCTACATCTCATTTTGTGGTGTTTGTATTGTGTTGAGTGTATGGTTTATGGGGAAAAACCACGAGTGTTTAAGATCCTAAGAGAATACAAAATGTATCATACAATCATTTCACTTACTTTGATCATTTAAAGAAGGGTTGGTAAACAAAAAATGCCCACTTTATACAAAGTAAACTCAGAGTTTCACAAGTGAGCATAAGCATATAAACAAACAAAAAAAAAAGCAAAGAAATAGCTCAAACCTGCTCACAAAAGGGCCGGATGTTAAGATGCGTGGGGAAAGTGTAGCGGGATGTCTCCTTATAACGTTCACACTTTGTAAAATCAAAGTTAAATCTCAGCAGAGATAGAGTGAGGAACGGTGGAAGTTTTCCCAGCTTGGCAGACTGTGGGAGAAAGAAAGAGTTAAAGGAACACTATTGGGCTCAGAAATACACTATTTAGTTTTCTGGCCACCAATTGCCCCCTTAAATAGATTAAAAACTCACCACACCCCTGCTCCGATTCCCTGGCTGAGATCATCAGAATTGATGAGCTCGGTCAATTCAGTGCTTTCCTAAAGGCAAGAGGTGGGGCGGGTGGGCAGATCCAGACACCTCGCTGGCCAATCAGCATCTCCTCATTTAAGATAACAAGCACTGTTAGTACCTCTAGTGGCCATATGAGTGACTGCCACTACATGTGTTACTAGGCAGTAATGTAAACACTGACATTTCTCTGAAAAGATAGTGTTTACCGCAAAATGGCTGCAGGGACTGACTACACTCACCAGAACAACTATATTAAGCTGTAGTTCTGATGATCATAGTGTCCCTTTAAGTGGCAGGCTGCAAAACATCGACATGGTGAAAAGTTTACTGCATAACAACTAGAAATGTAATTATTTATTTCGAATGTTCCTGAAACTGAAATGATCATTCCACACATATATTAGAATTTAATTTTAAAATCATAGACTACTGAATTTTTTTAATGTTTTTAAAGCAAAAATAGAAGTACAAAAAATAAAATGTGTACATATAGGTAAAAGTGCTTGTAACAAACCGATGAGTAAGGCAAGTGAAGAATGTAAAATTTAATTGTACGCATACTCTATTGGTAGGTTTATCTAATGGAATGTCAGGAAACATGTTAAAGAGGACACAAACTGGACTCCAGGTATAAGGAGAGGTCAGGGGGGGGAAGGAGAGACATGGCAGGCTTGGGAGCTTGTGGGGCAACTACTGAGCAGCAGTAGAGTTAGAAGAAAGGATAGTCCAGGGAAATCAAGGGATCTCGTGTTATATGTAAATAAACCAGAACGCCATTCTCTGATGCTCTGAAGTTGTTTCAAGTTCTGTGTATGCAATATCTTCAGAATAAACAGGCCCTTTCTAACATTTTGCAATAAACATCCGAATTGCATTACAAATTTTGTAAGCCAATTTAAGTATACACGTAGTTTAAAATGTATGCTTTCTGTCCAGTTGTTCATTTACAAATTCTATAAGCCCTTGGTTGCCTGAGGTACACGGGAGTTGGCATTTCAAAGCAGATGGCCTATAACTGATGCACTACAATAAACATACCTTAGCAGCTGCTACAAGTTTATCACAGGATCCACATCGATACAGATTATCCCCTTCGAAGATTTCCTCCTCAACGTACATGTTATATAAAGATTCCTCCAAGCTGCACACGTCCTTCACTGCAACAGTTAAATCAAGAAAATCTTCCTGCATAGAAAGGTGCACACAGAATTATTCAGAAGAAAAGCATCACAGAAGAATGTAAATTACGTTCAAATTTGATAACTTCTGTATATGCGGACAATATTACCACAGAGATTGTTATAATCATCTTCATATAAATGTTTTCTTCAATAGCATAGTTGTGCTTTATAAAAATATACAAATGAATTTTACTGGAAATTTATGTAAGTGCCAGATAAAAATGTGACACAAGGTTATCATAAGGATCAGATGTAGCAACACTCTTATAGAATTTGTCATACAGGAAAACTTTGACTTTTTTTTACATTACAAAATAATATGAGTATGTTATATAAAAGGGAGATTTCCAAATATATGAACTGGCAGTTATTACAATCTATATGAGTTATATATTGTTTATATTTTCACAATATTCTCTGAATCCCCAGATGTTGTAGAACTATAACTACCATGATGCTTTGCAAGCCTTTAGAATGCCATTAGACGGACAACGCATCATAGAAGCTGTAGTTTTAATACAACCTGGTGATCTGCCTTTTGGGAACCCCTGTTTTAGAGTGTGCCTCTATGATCAGTTGTATATTTCTTCTCTTTGCACCACTTCTCAAAATATGACCTAACCATTCAAGTCTTACCTGCCGCTTACTGATGTAGCCACATTCCTGGCACTTAATTTGATTAACCACGGTGCCATGATACAAGCTCTTAATAAGATTGTGGCCAGACGTGCCCTCCAGGGAGCTCTCCAAGGCACTGAACAATATTCGATTTAGTTCCTGCACGTCATGCTGACCAGTCTCCTGTAATGAGGAGGAAATGGGTTAATAGGTGTAGAGATAAGAGAGGGATACACATGGATAGTCCTTTGCCTTTCTAATGATGTATTCCAAAAACTGGTTGCTGTAGAAAACACCTTGATTTCACTAAATATAAAAAAAAAAAACAACAACAAAAAAAAAACACTGAGATCCAACCAGATTATTCTAAGATGGAATCAGAAACTTAAATATGATTTGGATGCTATAAAAAGAATGACATTGTTGATAACATGAATGACGATTACACACCTCGTTATTGTTCCAACCAAAGCTGTTTGTGAGGTCCGTGGTGGATGCAGCCTGCTGATCCAGCAGCAGAAGCTGTGCAAAAAGTCGCTGTAACTGTAAGGGGATTATCCGTACCTTCAAGAATATATAACATTATTAATATCACATAAGTAATTGAAAAGATGCAAGTAGAACAGTCTTCCAAGATCCACTGTTCAAAATCAAAATCCTTTGTACCCTGTGAGTTATTGGAGTTGCTGGGTTTAGGAATCTTTTATGTTTTACATTCTTTTCTGTTAAAACATAAACAATATTTCACTATAAAGTGTTCTGTCCTTTATGGTTTGACATATACATACTGGTGTAAGGAAAGGTTTGAATTTGGTGATAACAATATGAGAGGGAAGGGAAGAGACTGAATGAACGGACCAAAATATACATCATGTACAGCAAGTATTTTGAATTTGGGAATATTTGACCATCAAATTTGTTGTGATGTATGATGTAAAGCAATCAAGTCACACTACATTTAACTGTGAATTCTATGTAATTTGGATTCTTTTTTAAATTTAGTTGTGTATTTTCCAGGGACGTTATGGTTTACCTTTAAGGAGATACTGAAAAAAAATAGCACATGAGGCACCAGAAAACCCAATCTGAGCCAACATAATTAAAATGTATATTACATTTTCCATTGCGAGTAAACTTAATAATATATTGGAAGGATCAATCAAAACCAGTACCTTGTAATCTGGATCCTCCTTTTCCTCCAAGTAACCAAGGTCTTTGGGACCCAAAGCAAAAAGGGCTTCTAGAAACACAAATTCAATTGTAGGAATGTTTGAATTATGTAATCCAATAAAATATTACAGATGTAATCAAAATTATTCCCCCTCGTTGAAAATCAGGTTTATTGTCAAAATTTACAGAAAGTGTAGGACTTTCAGCTGTTTGCAATGAAGAGATCAAACAAAAGCAATTGAAGTAGCTAAACACAACGAATGTTTCAAGTGGTTTACCCCAATTCAACTGGAAATGTCACTTAAAATAATTTCTCCAGTCTCAAAATCATTCAACTCCCTGAACAGAATCCCTCACAAAAGCACAAATATGCAAAACGCGGGAAACAAGGGCTTAATTAGTTACACCAGGTGTGATCGAGCAGGATCACTTGAAATACCTAAAATGGCTAGGAGCTTGTTGAGTGTCACTGTTGACTGCATGTTAGAAATATTGCAATAAAGAAATAAGAGATCATTGCCCTTCACAAACAAGGAACAGGATACAAAATGAAAAAGAAGGCACTGAACGTTCCTAGAAACACCGTTGGAATAATAGTTTTCAAGTTCAAAGTTGAAAGAACAGTAGTTGCACTAGTCAAAATATATACTGATGTATATTCTCTATGCCTGACAAAACTTGACAAAAGGCAGAGCTACCGCCGTCAGGTTTTGTAATTTTCCCCAGTCATCACTTATGATGGCTGTAGAAAAAAAGTCCTTGTCTATGGAGCAGCCCATGGTCTCGCAGGATCCTCAATAGACTCTCACATGCGTGAGATTACACTGATGTGGGCTCCTGGCAGATGAAGTGCTAGTAACTGAACAGCACCAAAAGGATGAATATGGTGGTGGCCCGGAAAAGACAGGTTCAGATAAGAAAACCCCAACTTTACCTCAGTGCAACAACCTAATCACCATTGGTGATCTTAGCAAAATATACAACGACCCCATATGGTACTTGCCTCTTTTTCTTCTAATGAAATGTCTGACAACTTTAAATCTCAGAATAGCAATTGCTCAATGGATAAATTTATCATGAACAAGTTTAACACGTACATATTTAAAGCAATTGTTCGTGTCGACAGATAAATCCAAAGCAATATGATGCCTGGTATTTCCAAAAAGTCACTAATGGATTAATTTTTACCCTTATATCAGATTATTCTTTCAAACAATCAACCAAAATCCATTTACACTAAAATAAGGATAAGAGTTATGTACAACATTAGTAACAATTCTTCCAATTTTCATATCACATGTATTAGCCAAACCTCTGAATTCTGGTGTAAAAAGGAGGGTTTGAAGTAGTGAGTTCAGGTAACATGTGCCTCCCTGATTTTTGAGTCCACTCAATCTTGTATGCCCCCGAGGCTCCAGTATTTGAGAATCTTTACATTTTAATTTTCTGTTGGCATTTGGACTGCTTGAAAGGAATGAAAAGTCCTCCTCCTCTTCAAAAAGATCCCCAAACATCTTGAGTAAGAAGCTGAGAATCTGCAATGATTATATAAATCAAAAGATGATGACCTAAATTTACTATCAAGTACAAATTTAATACAAAAGTAGATTTTAAACTAATGCATATACATGATAGAAAGGGGAAAACTTGGCATTATTAATTTTGTCTTGTGAACAATTAGAAGACCAGAATAAAATCATACTCAATAGAAAATTTGTTTTGCAAACCTTATGGTGCATCGATACTTGTTATCATAGAACATACAAAAGGAAGTCTCAGTCCCTTTGTGAATGATTCTTTTGATGATGATCATTATGCTTTGGAGTTTGTTTAATGAACTAAATAGTAAGTTAAAAAGTTAGTCCAAAATAGCCAGGCATAAAAAATATATTGGTTCTTTTTTTAAATTCACTTATTTTTGCCAAAATTGTCTGACAATAATAGAAATGTTTTCTCAATTCAAAGACTAATACAACAACCACTACTCCGAACAGCTAACGTTTCTACTAATGTGGGAATGTCAGCTGTAAATGAGAGTGTAAAATAGTCTCTACTTTTTTTTTTTTCTTCACTAAACACCAAACTGAAGAGAACTGAAAACCTTAACTGCAAGATTTAGTAAAATTAGCTAATTTTTTTTTTTTTTTTAATTTTAAAGCTCCAACTTTGTTATATTTACGGTTTAGCTATTTTTAAACTACATTTTCCTGTTTGGTTTTTAATCCATGAATAAACCACTGTGTAAATAAAATCCAGCTAAGATTGGATTCATTACACACATTAGATAACTGTAAAGATTTATTTCCGAGTATTATTACTCATAAATATGCCTCTGTACTGAGTGGGTACCTGAGGCTCTGAGTGAAAAGAACTGAACCATAACTGTTCTTCTGTGAGATAAGGCCTCTTAACGTATTGACGAATATTGCAATTCTCCAAGATAGTAATTGTTCTTAGAGAATCTGGCAGCAGACGTTTTCCACGCGGCCTACTAAAGGGGTTGAATGTATTGGATGTACCCACAGAATAGCTCTGCCTTGTCAGGTCCCCAATCTGTCAATACTCCATTTAAACAATGAGAACAATTAGGATTAACATTGCCAGGAGCAGACAGTTAAATTGTCATTGAGGACTGTTTCCAATGCGGTAAATTCGCTTATTCGTATGGCTCTCCACCTAGGTGCTGTTTAAGGAAATGATTTTACCTGCAGTGATTTAATCCAAGATAAGAAAAGTCATTCCAAACCGGACACCTGCTACCTGGGTGCCACCATGTTTGTTGTGTATGTGTTGAGCGCGCAAGGCACGCCGGAACATGTAGTTCACTGGGTAAGAAATACAACGGTAGTTCCACTTCGATGAACTACAAGTCCCTAAGAGCGTCGCAGTAAATCGAACGCAGTCGTTTTTTTTTCTCTCAGATTCAAGATGGAATAACTTTATAATGCGAAAGAACATTATGTATTGCATTATCACCTAGGTCCTACCTAGGAGATAATACATCGATAATCTCTCAAGGTTGCGATTTTGCTGTTCGAGCCACAGTCGTCTAAGCCATTTCCAAGCTGATTATCAGGAATTTTAGACATGCATTTTCATGCCAACCTGTAAAATCATATTTTGGTTATTAGTCATTAACACAGGGTTATCCACTAAAATCAGGCCTGAAACAAAATATTAACTCTGAATAGTTCAAAACGCCTTTATTCAGGAGGGAGAGACCCTATTTTAGCACCAAATCCATCTGTCCCCTTTTGTTCTATCCTAATGCCCCTGTTTTCTAGGTGCTCCATATGGTTGGTGTTACTGATCTCCACAGCAATTATACTCCCAGTAATGTGTCTTTAAACCATGACAAATGTGTTTACAAATCGTTCTGTGTAAATAAGATACATTCTCTTGCTCTAATTTACATTTTAGATGCATACATTGTTATTAGTTAGTCACCTAAAATTTCTCAAAACAGTCCCATCCTGGCCACACCCCCATTTACACTTCTAAAATTAAAAGGACACTATAGTCACCGGAACAACTTTAGCTTAATGAAGCAGTTTTGGTGTATAGAACATGCCCCTTCAGCATCACTGCTCAATCCTCTGCCATTTAGGAGTTACATTTAGGAGGTGTGGCTAGGGCTGCATAAACAGAAACAAAATGATTTAACTCCTAAATGACAGTGAATTGAGCAGGGAAATTGCAGGGGAATGATCTATACACTAAAACTGCTTTATTTAGCTAAAGTAATTTAGGTGACTATAGTGTTACTTTAAAGTGTCCTTCTTTGCCCTTTTAAAATGTTGGGAGACATGGTAGTTTATGAACATAAAACCTTTATAAAATACTCATATTGCCAGTTTTTGAAATTTTAAAATAACCAAAAGATATCATAACACAAAGTGTGGGACCAGGTGGGACTGCCCATTTTGAGTGTTGCCAATGACACAAATGGTGTCTCTAGCATGCCCACATAAGTCCACCCACCTATTGTGTCAGTACTGATTTAGGGTACCTGTCCTATTGTCTCCTGTCCCCAGGTATAGAACGAGCTAATCAATAGTGCTTAGGGTACTAGAACCAGGACCAGAGCACGGCAACATGATTGGTAGTCAATGAACACCAGGCTTACATGCTCCTTCTTCAGTAAACCCACAAACTCATTTCCTGGGTCCACTACTTTGGGCAGTGCCAGTGACAAGGATTGTGTTTTATATACCTCCATATGTTGAGAGGTGTGGTGGTATGCTATACATTTTAAATTCACCATGACTTCCTCTACAGGAGTATTAAAAAATCCAAATGGCAAACTGAAGCTAAAGCAGCTGATTTGGAAAAAAATCTCTAATTCAGATATAGTGACAGCTTGGCTATTTTAATCTTAGTTTTCCTATTTGGATATGAGTTTGATTCAATTTGGAGTTTAGCATATAACCTAGTTTGGCCTGTACCTATTACTGAATATGAGATTTTTTCCTAAACAGTTATTTTTGCCTATATTTAGCAATTCAGATTGCAATTCACTATAGTTCAGTTTTTAGCATACCTGAATTTAAAGAGAAATGGAAAAAGTCAGTTATGTTATCAATTCGGCTGTTTCAGCCTAAAATGTGAAATTTCTTCTTCGTTATTAACTAAAGTGAGAATTCAAAGTAAATTTTAAATTTAAGGGCCCAGTTTTGTGAATGGGAAGTCACTGATTAGCTGAAAGCGTTAGCTTGCTGCTCTCAGCTAATCAGAGGCACCCCTACCCCACGTTACTCCACACTTCCGAAAACAGATATTTCAGAAGCCATATGCCGCCTGGAAGGAGTTGAGATCGGCGCTGGAGGCAACTTTTCTCAAACTGATTAACTCCTTGAGGTAAGAGTGTGCCGGAGGCCTCCTGGCACAATAAAATCCCATAACAACCTTTGGCGAAGTTGTTATGATGCCTGAACTGTTTCTTTAATAAACCTGTTAGAGAATGTTTCCAGTTTGGCTGTTTTGAACTGAAATTTTCTATTTAAATATACAGTCGAGATACAGAACAAAAAATAAAGTCTGTCAAATTAAATGTTAACATATACAAGAAATTATACGCTTTTTTTTCCTATTAATTTAAATTTTTTTATTGTTGCAATTAAACAGTGTACATAAAATTAAATAAAATGACAGAGGCAGTTCAGATAGTGATACATCAACAACAGATTCTCAAAAGGTTGCTCACATTGTAAAGAGAAATTATAGCAATAGTGATGAAATAGTTGATAAGACACAATATAAGAAAGCCCAATTAAATATGTACTAGTCGGTGCACTCCCAGAAACAAATGTAAGCAAACATGAAGGATGAACTCTAACAAAGAACATTGTGAGATGAGGAGTGGGGGAGAGGAAATCAGGGAAGCAAGGGAGTGGGGAAGTAGAGTTCAAAAAGGGTACAGTCCAAAGGTGTTTACCTCAAGCTTTGTTTAGACTTCTCTTGAAATGCTTTTTAAAAAACATTTTACTGTATCAGTTAGCTATTGAGAGCTGACCAGCCGCCATAATTATTGTTCATTGCACTGCAAGGACTTTTAACTATTTTCCTGCTGACTGTTTGTGCTGACAGAGAGCAAATACACTGATCACGCACAACATTAAAGCCACCGATAGGTGGCAGGAAAGCAGGAAAAATTGCCAAGCAGAATGATCTGAGTGACTTTGACAAGGGCCACATAGTGATTTCTAAATGACTGGGTCAGAGCATTACCAAAGTCTTGTGGGATGGTCCCTATATGCACTGGTTAAAGGACCACTCTAGGCACCCAGACCACTTCAGCTTAATGAAGTGGTCTGGGTGCCAGGTCCTTCTAGGGTTAACCCATTTTTTTTATAAACATAGCAGTTTCAGAGAAACTGCTATGTTTATTAATGGGTTAAGCCTTCCCCCAAAGCCTCTAGTGGCTGTCTCATTGACAGCCACTAGAGGCGCTTGCATGCTTCTCACTGCGATTTTCACAGTGAGAGCACGCCAGCGTCCATAGGAAAGCATTGTAAATGCGCGTGCGCATTCAGCCGACGGGGCGGAACAGAGGAGGAGAGAAGGAGGAGAGCTCTCCGCCCAGCCCTTGAAAAAGGTAAGTTTAAACCCCTTTCCCCCTTCCAGAGCCGGGCGGGAGGGGGACCCTGAGGGTGGGGGCACCCTCAGGGCACTATAGTGCCAGGAAAACGAGTATGTTTTCCTGGCACTATAGTGGTCCTTTAATACATAACAAAAGTGGTGCAAGGAAGGACAGCCAATGAACTCATGTGGGGAGCAAAGGCTGGCCCATTTGGTCCCATCACACAGAAGAGATACTGTACTGTAATAGCTGAAAAACTTAAAGGGACACTATAGTCACCCAGACCACTTCAGCTCAATGAAGTGGTCTGGGTGCCAGGTCCCTCAGGTTTTAACCCTTCAGATGCAAACATAGCAGTTTCAAAGAAACTGCTATGTTTACATCTGGTGTTAAGCCAGCTTCTAGTGGCTGTCTTCTGGACAGCCACTAGAGGCGCATCTGCAACGCTGGAGGCATATTATGCCTCCATCACGCAGAGCGTCCATAGGAAAGCATTGAGAAATGCTTTCCTATGGACACTTTGAATGCGTGCGCGGCACTGCCCCGCATGCGCATTCCGCTCCGCTGACGTCAGACGGGGGAGCTGACGTCAGACGGGGGAGCTGACGTCGGCGGGGGAGGAGAGGTAAGGGAGCCCGGCGGTGGACTAAGGTGAGTAACTGAAGGGGTTTTAGCCCCTTCAGCACCACGGGAGGGGGACCCTGAGGGTGGAGGCACTCTCAGGGTACTATAGTGATCCTTTAATGTGGCCATGATCAGGGGTATATTTACCCCGAGGCAAACAAGGCATTTGCCTTGGGCAGCACTTTCTGGGGGTGGCAAAAAAAGCCGCCCCCAATCGCCCTGGCAAATGCCTTGCTAGCCTCTTGTCCTGGCCACCTCAGAGCCCCCCAGGCTGGCAGTGGCGGCACTTTCCGGGCTGCGGCGAGGGAGCACTAATCCTCCTATTTAGCTCCCTCGCGCGCACCGCAGTGTTGCCAGAGCCTGAATATGACGTCATTCCGGCTCCGGCATCACTGAAGCTGGAGCTGAACAGGTGTTTTGTTATGCCTAGGGCAGCATAAAACCAGGATACACCACTGGCCATGATAGAAAGTCAGAATAGATAGTGCATCGCAGTTTGCTGAGTAAGGTGCTTAGTAACCGCAGATTGGTCCGAGTGCCCATAATAAACCCAATGCATTGCCGAAAGCACCTTCAATGAGGACGTGAGCAACGAACTGGACCATGGAGCAATGAAAGAAAATTGATGAATCACATTTTCTTTTAGATGGGGTTGATGGCTGGGTGCATGTGCATCGTTTACATGGGAAACAGATGGCTACAGGATGCACTATGGCAATAAGGCAAGTTGGCAGAGGCAATGTTATACTCTGAGCAATGTTATGCTGAGAAACCATGGGTACTGGAATACATGTGGATGTTACTTGGACAAGTACCACCTACCTTGAGATTATTGTAGACCACGTATACGATTAAAGGATCTGCTGCCAATGTCTGGTGTTAGATACCACAGGACATGTTCAGCGGTCTTGTGAAGTTCATGCCTCAACGCATGAGAGCTGTTTTCGCAGCACGAGGTGGACCTATACAATATTGGTCAGATGATTTTAATGTTGTGGCTGATTAGAGTAGTTTGGATTTTTAGCATCAGACATGATGAAATCTGGTAGATATTCATGTCCATAGAGATGTTACATAGAAACATAGAATGTGACGGCA